AAAGAAAAAGAACTTGTATTTTGGAGGAATTGTTTGATTGGCAGAAAGAAATGATATCCGCACTTTACTTTCCAACGTTTGCACTATAATCTTAAATGAAATGGCAATTCTAATCCTAATTTTACAAGTAAATAATAATTATTTTTTAAATAACACAACTGCCTTTCCTCTCCTTATTTATAATCTTTAATATTTTATGTCATTTTTGACATGTCATAAAAAATAATAAAAAATTGCGAGACCAATATATATATATATACTATGTTGAATAAATTGCCTCTCTTTGACCGGACCAAAAAAGTTGAATAAATTGCCTCTTTTGACCAAAATAAAAATTAAAAAAAAAAACTATTAAAAATTATCTCTTTTGACGTGAAAAAAACTCCTAAAAAAAATATATTTATTGAAGAATTACCTCTTTTATCAAGATCTCAAAAATAAAAATAAAAATGTACGATGATTAACAAAAAATTATATCTATTGAAGAAAATACAAAAAAAAAAAAAAAGGGTTATTTTAATTGAATAAATTATTTCTTTTGACAGCATAAAAAATTACCAAAAACCAAGTTACCTCTTTTGAGATGACTGAAAAAAAGTTAATTTGTTGAATAAATATCCCTTTCAATTGTACCCAAAAAAAGAAGTAACCATGGAATAAATTTTCTCTTTTTGACAGTCAAAAATAAAATTATTAGTATGAAATAAATTATTTTCTTTGACAGGAGCTCCGAAAAAATAAAAAGAAAGGAAACAAATAGTAAAGAAAGTAAAAAAAAGTTAAAATTGTATAAAGGGTAGTTATGACATTATAAATTAAGTGATGGTGTATTAATAAATTCAATGACCTTCTTGTTATTTTCTTTAAAAGAAAAAGGTAATTGGAGTGCAATTGGAGAAAAGTGGAATGCGAATATAACCTCCTAAAAAGAATTATTAAAATGAAAATATATAAGTTGGCCATAAAAGAAACAAATGGTATACATGGGGTTGATTTTATCATTTATTTATTTATTTATGTATTTTTAAGTATTATATCAGAACATATCCATATTCGTATTTTTTCATTTCCATTTCCTTATACAATTTTTTAAACTTTTTCCAAACTAAAAACACATATTTTACTAATTATAATTGTAAGTGTAGTACTTCTTCACCTTTAATTTTTTAGAAATGATAAAAATTTGTATGTGCTTTCTTGCCAAAAGTAATATATATTAGTTTTAGTTTAATTAGGTAGTAACTTTACTTAATATTTAATTAAGGTTATATAAATTCTCAATTCTAACAAAAAAAAAAAAAAAAATTCATACAAAAGTTAAAACTTCTGTATGGGGTAGCAGAAGTGACCTTCTTTCACATTATTGCAACAGTTACTATTTTGTCACAAAATGTATTTTCTTTGTTGGTGCAGTGAATTTTATAGTTTTTAAGATTTCCGTTCACCCAAATTATGTTAAATTGTCTATTACATTTGGCTGTTCACTCAATCGACTTTTGTGTAAACCTCTGAAGACCAAACTTGTCATTGGTTTATCATTAATTATTGTGTTGGAATGCTGTCTTCTGATTATTAAAATTTTGAATCTTGTGGGGGAGAAAGTCAACAACACATTGTTCAAAAGAAATGTGGAAGAGAAATATGGCTCAATGCTTGCCTCAGTTTTAATAATTTTCAATTTGTTGTTGCAATTTTAGACTAATTTTAAATATTAATTTTATACCAAATATTTTTTTTACTCTATCTACAATAATATAAACCATATTCCTCTTCTTGGTGGCAAACATGTCACTTACCAAATTCAATTCCACACTGATAGTGGTTTGAATGGCCAGAGTGCGGTAACATGGACAAAGTTAAAGATTTTACTGATTTTTTTTTTATTACTCTGGACAAAGTTATAGGTTGCTCACGTTGTTTGTATTCTTTTTGGTGGAATTCATTTATTATCTGGTTCAGTTGTCCCTTTTTTGATTTCTCTAAAGGTACCTTGAGTTTGTCAGTTCATTGGATTGTGTTATCGTTATAAAAAATAGTATATGTGGGTCGAATTTTTAAATGAAAAGGTATTATATCCGATCAAAAATTTTTAAAACTTTTTTCAAAGGAATAAAATAAATGTTATCCTATGTTTATAACCATCTATTTTCATACCATATTTTACTAATTATGATCGTAATTATAAGTACTTCTGCACCTTTAATTTTTTAATGAGGGACAAAAATTTGTACGTAGATTTCTCGCTAAATTAATATATATTTATATTTCACGGTTTAGAGATGAAAACATCCTACAGATTTGTAAAATATATATACTTATGCTATATATATATATATATATATATATATATATATATATATACTAGTTTTGGTTTAATTATGTAGTAACATTACTTAATATCCAATTAAGGATTTATAAATTAATTGGATGAATCTCAATATTAGAAATAGGAACTTAACAAAAAGAAGAATTTTTATTTTTTATTTTTTTTTAGAAATGGGAATTAATTTATAAATCCTTAATTGGATATTAAGTAATGATAACATAATTAAACCAAAACTAATATATATATATCATTACTTAATATCCAATTAAGGATTTATAAATTAATTCCCATTTCTAACAAAAAACGAAAAAAAAAAAATTCTTCTTTTTGTTAAGTTCCTACTATTTCTAACATTGACACCCATCCGCATAAATTATTAATAAAATATTATTTTAATCCTTGCCGACATTACTACTGTTAGTAAAGAAATTTTTGTCTAGATCATATAAGATTGGGTCTTGGTATGATCTCTACCTAGGGTCCAAGCCCTAAGTAGAATAAAATTAGTACACACGTTTGCTTATTTTAAAAAATAAAACTATATATATAAAAAAATTAAAACTCATTACATGTTTGCTTATCCCAAAAAAAAACAAAAACTCATTTTTGTAAGACCAACCTATGTCGATAGCGGTCATAAATGGTTTGGATGGTTAAATTTTGATGATTTCATCAAATTCTATTTCAATATATATTTTTCTAGAACTAGTACACATCCACGTCTATGATTACAAGGATTACAGGAAAAAAAAAAAAATTTATTTCTTTTGATTGTAAAATTTATGGACAATGGTGTCCACCCGATTCAGAATGTTTGTTAGACTCTAATATTTATGTTTAGTGTGCAGGAATGAAATGGAATGTAAATGAGAATGGAACGAAAATGAGAATGGAATGAAATGGTCATTCTCATTCTATTGTTTGGTTGTAAATATGAAATGTGTAGGAATGAAATGATAATAACTATTCTAGTGTTTGGTTGGACCAATTTAAAAATTAGAATGGAATAAATTTCTAATTGAATTCTCCAAAATATCCCTCCTAGTAATAAATAAATTAAATTAAATTAATTTAACAAAATGATATTCTCTAATAATTTTTTAAAAATAAATGGTGGCAGGGGCGATGGTGGATGGTAGAAAGCGGTAGTAGTGTAGGTGGTGGTGTTGGAAGGCGGTAGTGGTGGCAATGGTGGAAATTGGTGGCAACAATGGTAGTAAAAAGTGGCAGTGGTGTTGGTAGGAAGGCGGTGGAAGTAGTGTGGTGGAAAGAGACAGTGTTGTGACTATAGTGGTGGTGAAAGGCAGTGGTGGTGGTGGAAGGTGGTGGTGGTGGAAGGCAGCGGCGGTGGCGGAAGGCCGTGGAAGTGGTGGTGGTGGTGGTGGAAGGCAGCGGCGGTGGCGGTGGCGGTGGTGGAAGGCAGCGACGGTGGCGGAAGGCCGTGGAAGTGGTGGTGGTGGTGGTGGAAGGTGGTGATGATGGTGGTGGTGCTAGAAGGTGGCGGTGGCGGTGGCGGTGGTGAAAGGCGGTGACGGTGGCAGTAGCGACGGTGGAAGGTGGTGGTGGTGGTGATAGAAGGTGGTAGAAGGCGATGGCGGTGGCGTTGGTGGTTATGGAAGGTGGCGGCGGCGACGGTGGTGGTGAAAGGTGGTGGTGGCAGTGGTGGTGAAAGGCGGCGGCGATGGTGGTAGTGATGATAGCAGTGGTGGTGGTGGAATGTGGTAGCAGTGGTGAAAGGCGGCGGCGGTGGTGAAAGGCAATGGCAGTGGTGGTGGTTGCGGCAAACGGTGGCAGTAGCGGTGATGAAAGGCGGCGGCGGCGGCGGTGGTGGAAAGTGGTGGGCGATGGTGAAAGTTGGTGGTGGTGGAAGGCAGTGGTAGTGGTGGTGGTGGTGAAAGGCGGAGATGATTGTGGTGGAAGGTAACGGTGGTTTTTAAACTTAGAATATGAGGGTGTTTTGGGAAGTTGATTTTCTAAAATAAATTATTTGGGAATGGAATGGCCATTACATAGGTTTAGTTGTGGAATGAATTTTCATTTTCAGGAATGGATTTTCATTCTAATGGAATGGTTGGTTCCATTCCATTCCTACATACTAATTAAACATTTTTAACATTTTTACTAGATATTTATATTATACATTTTTAAGAATAAAAAAATATTAATACGTAGAGTAATTAAAAAATCTCTTCTTACTTATTACATTAATTTTCTAGATATTTATATTATACATTTTTAAGAATAAAAAAATATTAATACTTAGAGTAATTAAAAAATCTCTTCTTACTTATTACATTAATTTTCTTTCTATCTTTGTAATTTTCTTTTGGCCTGCTAGTCACTTTTAACTCTTTCATAATTTGCACAAATTTTTAACATGTATAATTAATTACCTCCAAACCATCTAATATAATTTAAAACAAAGTATTTTTATTATTCGGACTACTTATATACTAGTAGTAAATCTTTTAAGACACTGCACTAACTTGGTCCCTAGATCCTGCGGACTATGAGTTTTAATCGTGCGAGTTTTAGCTGATTCGTAATTTGTTCGGTCAATTGTCTGAAATGGATGGCAGTTTCGTAATTAATAGTTTTATCAAGGATTTTTGTGTTGAGATGTACGAATATATCGTATAATGACATAAAAAGTACCAGGGAGTAGTACACCACCGGGTAGTTTTTATTTTCCTCGCCAACCAATCCCATCTAAAAGCCCCGCTCTCTCCTCTCTGCGGAAGTACAACCAACCATTCCTCCTCTTTCTCTCTCTAACGATCATTCATCGGAAAACAATTAGACGGCCAAGATGATGCACATGACCTTCTACTGGAGCCGAGAGGTGACTCTGTTGTTCGACTCGTGGAAGACCGATTCATGGACGAGTTACGGACTCACCCTCCTCGCTTGCCTCCTCTTCTCCATCTTCTACCAGTACATGGAAGCTCGTCGCCAACAATTTCAGCTCCTTTCCGTCAACAACAAGCCCTCCTCCGCCGCCGCCGCGACGCAGACGACGATCGACACGCCCCTCCTCTATCCCAAGCTCGCCGCGGCTTCCCGGATCTGGAGTGCGGCGAGGTTCGCCGGCGCCGTTCTGTTCGGCGTCAATTCGGCGATCGGATACCTCCTGATGCTGGCGATCATGTCGTTCAACGGCGGTGTCTTTGTCGCCGTCGTGGTCGGACTCTCCATAGGGTACTTGGTGTTCAGGAGCAGCAGTGCAGATGTGGTGGTCGTTGACAATCCCTGCGCTTGTGCTTGAAAACAGACAGAATTTTATTTCAATTTACGTATCTTTGTCGGTGATCTATCTCGTCGTTAAATTGGATCTGTTTATCTCGAATGACCCAGTTTGATTTTCCGATAATTTCATTTCTCTTTCTATATATGTCTGTATATGATTGTCTCAAGATATGTAAATTGTGGGGATTTGAATCGAATGGTTTGCTTTTCTTTCTGTTCTCATGAGTACAACAGCTTTTGATTGGGAGGAAGAGCCAATTGAAATGAAAGAGGGAAAAAAAGAAAAAAAAAAGAGTTTTTAGTAATTTAGAAGATAAAAAAAATAGAAATGCTTTCCCTTGATAGATAATATCTAAATTAACAAGGAGAGAAAGGAAACAAGAAATAATTTTTCTTGTTGACATTAGAAGATTGAAAAAAATGGGGGCAAAACCATTATTATAGTTAATTCAATTTTCTTTTTATCACTGGAAATAAATTTTTTTTTTTTTTAATTTTTAATTTCTTTCATTTCCTTCTATTAAGTGGGACTTAAAAGAAATTGAAATTCAACGACAAATGGTAAAACATTGGCCCCCAAGTGAACATTTAATTTTTTGAAATCATTAGAAGACTTTTAACAAATTTTAAATTTTATTTGAAGACTCTTAACTCGATTCGAACTCCAACGATTAAAAAGTCGATTCGAACTCAAATTTGACTCGACAATAGTGATTTAAGCAATCTGAAAAAAAGACATGAACTTGGATCATTTGTACCAAGAAAATTTGAGACATTATTTAGTGAGATATGCTTAACCATCTAGTAAAATGGGTTGTACAAATCCTAGGATTTCCGCGATGACAATCCAAAAAATCTCGTATCTTTCTTCATTTGAGACCTACAGACATGTCATATCTTTCTTTCTTTGTTACCTAAACACGTCTGCCTTGTTAGAAAGGAATAACTAGGTCGCTCAGTGCTGCAAAAGCAACTTACACTAACAGATCTTAAGCTGTTTCTTGATAGGGCCAACGTTTCGGCTTGGCCTGGAGCCGGGTCCGCTATAAAATTGTGTCCACTAAGGATTGATTCGGGAACTATGTAACAATTTCTCGTTTGCATTACTTAGGTATATATAAAGGTATCAATGGCCATCACTGTAACACCATTCAAATTCTGTTTTTTACACAATTTACCCTAAAATAGGGAGGACCATTGCTGCTTGTAAAAACACTCGAATCTAAAAGCATTTATTTATTTATTACACTAATTTTTACAAAAATAATGATAACTAAAGTTTTTCGAATTTTTTCTCCTGACCTCGGAGACGTGATCTAGACAATGACTTCAAACTACCACTCACATTCTTCCAAGCCTCTCATTGTATTTACCGTAGCGAGCCAGTGTTGTATATAATACCATCCACATAGCTTTCATTCACCTACAATTCATTCCCTCCTCCCGTTTAGCTAATTGTACAATCATCAAATAAAAAAGACAACAGAACAATGATAAACAACAAGATGCCATATAATATATATATATATATATATATATATATATAACGCAAACACATAACAGATTGATAATCTCAATTAATTAGGCAAAAGTAATGTATTAGGAACTAGTCATGATTAGAAATAATCTGGTGGCTCGTCGTTGAATCTGCAATGAATCATTACAGCCGCCTGTAAAGCTTATTGGTGGGGGGACTCTCTCATATGACAAGAGAATTGCCAAAATGACAAGAAGAGGCACCAAAAATATTTTCTTCAGAAAATTTTTTGACAGTTGCTTTTCATCCTACAAGTTCAAACTCATGATAAATCGGCTTCAATGAGATTGCGTTTGCATGAGATTTGTTTAACACTTTAACAGCATTCGCAGTTGAATTATTAGCCTCCCAATATGCAGGTTACTAGGCTGTTGATCAAATTAGAGCTCCACCTTTGAGTTGGTCCAGTATGTGTTTCAAAGCTATCCATTATGTGCATCAGGGAATTAAAACAAAGTCCACTGTGTCTTACTAAAGACAAAATGAGGGCAGTAAAACTAAGAATGAAGAGCTGGGCGATCTCTCTCTAGATATATATATATATATAGACGCACACATCTAGTGTTCACACATATAGTGTGCGTGGCAGGGCGTGTGATTTTGGTGAAGTCTCCTACCTTTTATGTGAAAGGGAGGATATGTCAGTTTCTTGGCTGAAACAAGTACTTGTGGTAATGTCATTTCTCATTCCAAGAGTAAAAACATGGTTCTGTAAACTACTTGGCTCAAACTCTGACGAGGCAAGTTGCATTAGTAAACTACACAAGTACTATGGCGGAGCACAAACACACATTTGCGACGATTCCACAAAACACGAACTTAAATCTGCAGTGATTGTGGGATTAAATTAACTAACACAACATTCTAAAGTATTATCTATTCAACATCTAAAAGGGAAAAAAAATTGAATATTATTCTATTAACAAATGATTAAGGAATCAAAAATAAAGTAACAAAACACTAAAAAATCAGGACAATATTAAAATTTGAATCTACACCACTAAATAAAATCACTAAATGAGTTTGTATAACCAAAACAAAAAAAGGGAGATTTTCAGCTTTTGCTAAATAAAAAAGTACTTCTTACATCGCCATGATCATCGCTGGGTTCCCTTTGCTTTTGCGAAACTATAATTTCTGTTAGAGATTCAATTCAAAATAGCCCATCAACAAACTATTCTAGAGAAACAATTCAAATTAGTCTCACTAACATGAAGTCAATGGTATTTTACAACAAAGAACCAAGAAGAGGACCAAACAGGCCACTAGAATGATGTGAATCAAAAGGGCTTACTTGCTGTGAGGCAGTGAGGGAATCTGAAACACTGGCATGAAGCAATGACAATTGTATTCCTCCTGTTTCAATTTTAATCCTTCACTCAATTTGTAATTTACTGATGTTGAGAAATTTAGGAGTAACCTCTTGCAGGTGAAGTATAAAGAACAATGTCCTAATTGCTATTGCTGGTCTTGAATTTTTAACGACACCAGTTCACTCTCTTGCCATTGACCTCTGTACTTCAAATTAGTTGGCAACCATCTACGAAAACTTTCTGGTAACCTGGGAAAATATGAGCACCCAACCAACAACTTCAAAACTGAAGTATCATCAAACAGCAATGGAAACAAATAAACAAGACATAAATAAAGAACACAATAACACAACAGGTTCTCAGGAATTTTGGTTGACTATAGACGGCCCATACAAGCTATGGAAATTTTCCCTTTCTCCCAAACTTGAGCATCAAGTCTTGTTTTTGGCTCAGCAAAGTGTTTCAAGAGACCTTTCTCCTCTGCTTAAAACATAAACCTAGAACTTAAAGATGCCATCCAAAGATTAAGTTCGTTAACAAACTAAGTTTCTAACTACCGGAGTTCTAGTCACGAGTTTTTTGGATCATCGGTTGGAGGTAGAATTGTCGACGGATTGATGTTAACTTGGCAGACAGAATTTTTGAAAGAGTTTGATGCACATTCTATTGTCATTAAAAGTCACCCCCGTCAGGTCATTTTAAACAAAAAATCTAAGGCACCCATCAGGTACACCAAGAGGCAGTACATGGCAGCCAAGTATAAGACCCTAAATAAGGATAACTGATTTTTGCAAAATATGACAACCCGGTGCTTTCAGCCAACCAACAGAGAATTTAGTTAGGCATCTAATAAAATAAATCCAAAAGTTCATTTTTGACACCTAGCTGGTCAGGGTACCAAAAGAGTAACCCAGAAGGTCCCTACGATATAAAATTGATGGTGGATCTCTGTCAAATACTTTTGGCCTTCTAACAACCCAAGAATAAAGATTCAGAATTTGTGACTTACAGATCCAATCTTTCATAAATTGCTCTCCGTACTGAAGAGTTAAGTCCATATGCTATTGAGTTGAACAGGCCCTGAAACAAGTTTAGAACATAATCAAGTCAGTTTTGACTCATAACACTGATATAACTGCATTGTTTTAGAGAGAAAACATGTGATACAGACTCTAATCAATAATGATAATATGTAACATGGATTTCCACACTTTCAGATTTGTTGATCACTTGAAACAATTTTAGGATCCTAAGTGTGTGTACAATTTGCTATATATAGTTCTAAACAAACCATAATTATACATTAAATCATAAGGTTGGAATAATACAATGATACAGTCAACATCATTTCACTGAAGTGCTGAAACTCAATACCAGTCCCTTGTTTGTGTGAGATACTGATGTGTGCAAAAGAGAACAATAAAGAACATTTACAAGTGACTTGAGATATAAGCAAAATCAGGCGCTGTGTACACACCTGAAAAGCATGCACCCATGCAAATGCAATATCCTAGCATGGAGACTTAAGTTATGTTGCCAGAGATATGATGATAGTACAAAACATATATCAGAAAACAAAAGGAGAACTTATCCATCATTAGTGGGGTTACCATAAGTGCAGCTGTTCCAACATCAAGAACGGAAAGCCATAAGATTTTGTGGTCTGGTTCAATAAAATCATGAATGCGGTTGATCGTGCCAAAAGCCCATGATCCTATCAAAATGAGTGGGTAGTAACCCCACCGGTTTAAAGCCTGTAAAGGGATAGGAATAAATATCAATAAAAAGCTAAATATCCATATCCATTTCAAATGGATCTAAGACTAGTTAAATCACAAGATACCTTCATGTCTGCACGAGCATCTGGTTGGTATGCACGGTCTGACATGCCTACTGCCATCTGAAATTTCAAATATGCATGGTATGTTTTCAACAAATTTACATAAACTTTAGGGCTTTCCAACAATATCTGATTTATCCTACTCCCCCAGCAACTGGCAATGTATAGGAGGAAAAAGAATTTCAATTAATGAGTACATACACGGGTTGCGTTGTTTAGCATGCGAATCACTTGAAAGTAAGTGACACCGTTGAACAGAATTGCACCCCAGAGTGGTGCATAAAATGTTATAAAGTGAACCACCTGTAGGAACAAATAGAGATTTTCAAACTCCATAGAACCAAAAGCACTCCACCAAACAGACCAAATAGATAGTTGATGTCTCAAAATCATACCTAGATCCAAATGAATTTATTTCATTATCCAGCTTACAAAATAAAGTAAAAGCCTAACATCCACAAAATGATACCTATATCCAAGTGTCAAACGATTCAAAGCTAGAAATTAAGAATATAATGTTGAGAATACATTCTGGGTATCTACTAATAAGATTGTCCAAGAACTACTGCTAAATATATCCCACTAGTCTCACCACTTTTATCCATGCAGATACATGAGTGAATATATAGATTTCATTAAAATTTTAAACTTTGCAAGGGATCATCTTGGTACCAAGCATGGATGAATTAGTGTAGTATAAGGTCAGCAATGCAATAAAACTTCAATTTATTGTCTTGACTGGAATTTCTTCACTGTTGTGAGTTCTAACAAGGCCCATTGACATGATCTGCAATAAGGTCCCTCTTTAAAGGAAAGGAATTCCTCAAAGGCATTGAAATTTTGTATTCAAAAGTACGTGAGAAACAGTGTCAGGTTCTGCCCCACACTGTGCAGATATTGTCTGCTTTGCACCCCCTGTTGGAGCTCACGGTTTTAAAACGAGTCTACACAGGTGGAGGCATCACTCCTTATAGGTGCCAACAACTTCCCCCCAGGGCCAGGCGATGTGGGACGTCACAGACAGACATCAAGGCTTTCCTAATATTGGACCAATTCTAAGATTTATAAAACTCACAAAAACTTCCTAATCTAATCCCACTAAAGATAGCTATGTATCTAGCCTCAGAATTTTATCTACTCATCAACATATACATATATAAAAAAAATATAAAAAATTGGCAATATTTATAAAGATCACTTCCCGTCACCGACACCATACTTTAGATATTAATTACCATGCCATATTCTTAATCGTGCAGAGTCAGATAAGTTATTCTACTCAGGCTTTAACTGAGATTTTTAAAATTATGACAATTGAAATGTGAAATAGAGTATTTTTTTATAAGATGAAATAAGGTATATTTTAGGGGTACCAAAAGACATAAATCACCGTGAACAATAGTTAAACTTCCTTTTGCCATTATTTCAAAAGTATAAATAGCAAGAAATTTAAATAGCTTTTAATTGAGAAAAACTGCGTAGAAAATAAACCACGATAGAGCGAGCACGCCCGCAGCCAAAGGCTACATCACACTTGCCTTTCCTGTGCGTCCTGTTTGCGACCAACACCATGCACCCAAACCGCCAAAATGCCTGTGGTCGTTACCAATGGAGCGTATGACTGTCAAAACAAGTGAAGTTCCTGTGACAGCAATTGTACATTCAACTTAGCTTCATGAAAGGGGCTTCAGAAAAACAAAAAACCAAAAAAACAAAGGGGAGGGGGGGGGGGGGGGGGGGGGGTGGCGGATTTCATGAAAGGGATGGTTCTAATAGCAGGGCATTAAAACGAAAACTTCAAAGGCAAACATAGAGAAGAAGTGCAAGGAAGGCAATGGTGCAATATGCAGTATCTCTTATAGAATTATTATTTAAGCTAATCTTTTTGTAACATGTGAATGCTTACCCCAAACATACAAATGAAACATGGGCTCCAAATCTTCAACATCTGTTTTGTGTCTCACAACTGTGCGATGAAGAGTGAAAGCAATTGTAGTAGTCCATAGAAAAGATGCCACACAGAAGAAATGTGTGCTATAGCCCCGAGTATCACAAAAAAATCCTTTAGATGGATCCCTGCATAGTGAGAAAAAAATTTCCTTTAGCAATTCAGCACTCGATAGGAAAGTGGTGACACTGTAACTCACTTCACTTGACTCAATGCTACATACCCAACAATGCTGAAAAAACTGCAAAGCATGTCCTGCAGTCAAATAAACAGCAATAAATTAGCTGTATCTGAATTACCAAAACATTCAATGGAACAGGAGAAAGAGCATTGAGAAAAAAGATATTATCAATGGAAAATTTAATAGACATGTTCGAAACTTTTCATCAAAGTAAGGGCTTAAAGCTGCATCAGGCATTAAAATCAACCCTACAAGTATATATTAAAATGATACATGTATGAGATTAACAAATATATTTGCAAATTATAGACACGCATTCAAACACATATTTGTGAGTATCGAAGAAGCATTGGTATTTGATATGCATACGATGGCTACCTTGAAAATATGGCAAACTTCTTCCCATCCAATCTTTTCTTACTATATCTATGTGCCAAGTGGAAACATCTGCACTTGTAATAGAACCCATGTCAAGTTTGAAATCTGCCTTGTAGAAGATCTACAATTCTAAGGTGGAAATGTTAGCACCTGAATAGTAATTGCGTTATTGGAATATGTCACGTATAGGTGTCAAGTTCAAGAAAAAGAGGGGTGACGCTGACCTATTCTCAATGGGCGCGTAGTAGGACAAGTACCCTAGGTGGAGATCTGGGCCATTGCGAGGGGACCTCTTTGAGATTTGAGGAAGAGCATAGGGGTCACGTTGGTCTTAAGAGTCTCCCTTCTGGACAAGATTAGGATGTGATTGGGTTTAAGACACAGGGTTTTTAGTTGGAAACCTTCTCTCCTGGTTGTTGGCGATCATAAATGGCACATTAGTTCCCTTCCGGACAAGATTAGGATGTGATTGGGTTTCAGACACAGGGTTTTGTGATACCCCCTAATTTTGGAACACGGATTGATCAAGTCCGCGCACAAAATCAAGGGATATCAAAACAATTTAAGTATTTAACAAGCACAGAATACAAAGATGAATAATAAAGAATAAATAAACCGCTGAAGAAAACTAATAAATAAATATTACTTAATGATTCTCCAACAATTACAATTCAGAAATCCCATAACTCAAGGACCCCTTGAAACATTATCCAATAATCCAATACTATTTAAAAGTACACAAGATGAATAGACGAATGACAGTCTCCCAGCTGCGGATCCTCAACCTCGAGACTGGAACCTCTAATAACCTGAAAAATAAATCGTGGGTTAAACCCTACGAGCAAGTTCACTCTACCAGGCCTCTGAAAACCAATAAGCAGATCATCTCTGATCAAAACCAAACCTAATAAAGTTTTAACTTTAATAAAGCACGATATACATGTCTATATATAATTATATATACTATACTAATCACATCCATTAGTAGGTTTATTAAATTTCCATACCTATTAAATAATTATTAAAATAATATTCATACCTAGACCAATCTACCATTTCATTTTATAAAAACTCCTTTGACCTTAATCCCATCCTAGTCAGTTGTTTAATCATTTAAACAACAAATTATAATAAAAGAAATACTCTATTTAATCCCAACCCGATAATGATTTTAATTGTTTAAATCACATATCCAAAATCCAAGTTTTGACAAATCATCCACGTCTTCCCCAATATTATTTTATTAATGTAAAATAATACACTAACCAGTAAGTACTAAACTATTCTCATTTAAGAATATCTAACCCTAATCCAATCCATACATACAACAACCATAGATGATATTTTAATCATCTAACACATAACAACGTAATTATGCTTTGGCAAATCAACCATGCCATTGTAAATATTTTTATTTATATATTGGCAATTCAATCATGCCTCCATAAGTATATTTATTTATACATTGGCAATTCAACCATGCCTCCGTGTATGTATATTTATACATTGGCAATTCAACCATGCCTCCACAGGTATATTTATTCATACATTTAATTAGCAATTCATCCATGCTTTCCATATATGTATTCTATTCATACAAATATTTAGGTAATATATTTAATCACTTGACAATTCATCCATGCCCACACTTTAACCATGAATTAACTTTAAAATTAACAATACGCTAAATCATACATAGCCATCACATGCATATTATACACATATCATTAATTTAACAACCAGCCTATTAAGATATGCCAAATAAGAATGATAATATTAATTATCTTAAATGATTTATATATATATATACCTACACATATGTTATTTAATGTATATATGTGTTTAACACCTTCTTTAATAATCCTTGATTATTTAAAATCAATATACATACATACATACATACATATATATATATATATATATATATATACACTTCCTTCCATAACAAATTATTAATTTATTATATTTACACAAATTAGTGCAACTAAATATGTCAGAAATAGTTTCCTTTAAATACTCCATATTGGTTTAAATAGTTTTCCGACACTTTCTCACTAAAACATAAATATCTCCTAGTAGGATGGGAATCTGATAATGAAATTGGTACCATTGGAAAGAAGACGAAAAATCCTTGAATTTGAGCTCAAGAATGACCCAATTTCGATTTAAAATGACTAAGTTATGACCGTTTTAATTTCTAGTGTCGAATTAGGCCAACATAGTTTCACACGCGCGCCCACGTGCTTACTATGCACTTGCACGCGCTGGATTCAAGCCTCCTTGTGTGCTGGTATTGGCTAAGCTCTTTCAGCTACCGTGAGCTCACCACACTGAATCCATCACTTCCTTTATGCCGCATCCAATGGTCATAAATGAGTGCGCAAATGAACACGCTCACACTAGATTATTTTCTATTAACTATAATAGATCTAAGGTCCAGATCAGCGAGTGTACCATCTTCTCATTGTCTGCAATACACCAAATAATCCCATAGTTGACCAGACCACTTCTATGGTCCAGATACACATGCGCACCAAAGTTTTATGCGCCGCGATGCACCATATCAATTCACATAAGTTTAATTAATCAAATGGCCCTAATTGGCGTATACACCCTATTATCCTACACCGCGCCGCACTGGATCAATTCTTTATTGTGCCGCCGCTCCACATGCGCCAGTTACCTAGTGTGTATATATATATATATATATATATATATAAAATTATTTTCCTAACAAATAATAGGAAAATAAATCCTAATAAATTCCTAAAAATATCAGAAAAATTCCAGAAAATTACAGAACAATTCTAGAAAATAAAGAAACCATAATTAACTCTCTTGGGTCACAAATCCACCTATAGATTGATTTTAAAATATACATAACACCTATATATATCAATTAAAATCCAATAATCTAAAAATCAAATATAATAGTTTATACTTTTTAATTATTCCGATCTAACCATAATTTTTAAACAAATAAATTTAATTAAAGCCTTGATACTCAAGGTGAAATCCTTATGAGTTCTAAGAGGAAAGTTAGAGAAAACTCGCCTGAAGGTTTCGAAACGAAACCGACGCTTTAAGCTTTAATTATCTCTTCCAATTCCGACGTCCTCCTTTTCAGATCCGACCTCCTCCTTGTCAGCCCTTCTTCTTCCTCTCTCTCTGTCTGTTTTATTTTTCTAATGTGTAAAACCTTTAACCCTAAAGCCTTATGTGTATTTTTATACACCTTAAATTCCAAATCCTATTCCAACTAGTATTATGAATTAAAATAATAATCTTTAAATAATTTATATCTATAAACATATATATATATATAAATATATATTCCTTCCATAATTAACTCATTAGTTAATTAAATCATATATACTTATAAATATCAATAAATATATATCTATATATATATCTTTCCATAACAATTATTAATTAATTATATTTATATATAATTATATATATATATATATATAAATATAATTGATACAAAAGTGATCATTTAAATAATTAAATAACCACGGACCTTCATTAATTAACCCAATAAGGTTTCATACAAGCCCAAGACCACATCTTTTGGTCCAACTTTCCTTAAGCCCAATCCAATTAATTTAAATAAATAAGATAATTAATTAAATACAGAAATTAAAATAACTAATTACATGAAGCACATAAACAAACAAGAATTTACAACTAAGTCATATAATACCAATAAAATCAACACACCAATAATTCAATCAATAATCAACCACACAAACAATCAATCATCATACATAATCACGAAATATAACTTAATTAAAATAAGATAATTAATCTAGCACTCAATAAAATAAAATAAATCATTGAAAAATAAAATAAAATAATTAATCCTAATTAATAAATCTTTTAAAATTATCGGGGTATTACAGGTTTTTAGTTGGAATCCTTCTCTCCTGGTTGTTGACGATCATAAATGGCACATTAGTTTCCTTTTATATTACTGTGCGCAAGGATTGTGGTGTGAAAGAGTTAACCATGGGTTCGAGGGAGGGGTTTGATCATAGGGTGTCAGAAGGACAAGATGTGCTGATATTTCATGGCTCTAGGCAGGTTGCCGGGCCCTTTTTTTTTTAATGATCAGGTTGCTGGGCTTTATTAAAGTAAGGGAGGGAACATGAATTTATTACGACCGATATAAAAGGAATCTCCATTAAATGCGAGCCCCCCCCTCTCTCTCTGAAGGTGGTCTGATTCCCATTCCTTTTGGGAAACTCACTCTCTTCCTTCCTCTGTGACAGATCAAAGGGAATTTTCGTTGTGAGATGCACGACAAAAACCCTTCAACGATCCCCAACACCACCCAGGGTCCCATGGGGAATGTAGCCTCAAGATTCAAAGTTTATCTATAGAGAGGAGCTCCTCAGATGCCTTTAAGGTATTCTCAAGGTTTATGTATAGAAAGGAGCTCCTCAACGGCGAAGACATCCTCGAGGGCTCTTTGCGACGTCTTCGTAGAGAGGAGGTCCTCATGTTTAAGACCGATCCCAAGAATTATCTGTGGAGAGGAAGTTCTTGGCTGTATAAGTTTTAGATGGAACACCCTCCAGAGAGGATGAGGGGAACGACTTTGGAGCTTCCGGAGTTTTTCTTCGGTCGCTATGGCCGCCTTCTTGCAAATATAAGAGAGATTGCACTGGTACACATATATAAATATTTTCTTGTTGCTTGCAAGCGGCCTTGAGCTCGTGGTCATGTGTTTGAGGGACATCTACACAAGTTACAATAGATGCTCGTGTTGTGGCCTTTCACGGCTGGTGAGTCACCTCCACATGGAAGAGGGTGCCACGTTGTCACACCTGGACCCCAGGTTGGTGGACCAGGTACCCACATCATGTTAACTTACAAATAAGTTAAGGCCATTACCTATGCAGGGAGGGATAGAATGAAGAGAGACCTTACCTATGACATTATTTTTGCATAAAATGAATTCAAATCCATGCTTACGAACTTGCCTTGAATACCCTATAAGCATTAAAAGCAACACAAAGAGGCCCACTTAATTAACTTATTATGGAAAATCCGACACTATTTTTTAAATTAAAAGAGGGTTACAAAAAGAATGATAGTAACCCATCCCAAAAAAACTTAAGCTTGGGGGCAAGTGGTTGTTGGACAGCATAATGGTCTATCAGGTAAGGAGAAGCGTGAGAGCCGAGAGGAAGGAAAAGAAGGGAAGGAAAAGAAGGAAAGGAAAAAGGGTAGGGTGTTCAAAAAGGGCCATTCCCTCCAAGTCCATCATATTTTCCCTCCCAAAAGTGAGTGAAAAGGAGGAAGGGAAGAGTTCTCCTCCCCAACTTTTTTTTTTTTCTTTTTTTTTAAAAATAACATTCATGCTAATTCAAACAACTTCCTCCTCCTGATATGTGATTGTACGATGACAAGATCAGGCAACATTATCTTTCCGTCCTTCATTCGTCATTCTAGTTCAACTTAAGGAAATGATTCCACATTCCTTTCCTTCCAATTTCGCATCCCTAGCAAACAGAGGATAAAGCTTGGTTTAAGAGAATTTGTGAATTTACATGAATCAAGAAGGAAAGCTTATAAGATTTACTGAACAGACTTTTAAGCGAGTTAGATATAGTGAGTGAGTCAGCCAGCTAGCTTTTTTTATTTATTCAAACCAGTAGCATCACGATCAGCATTAATTGTAATTCATAGTTAAGTGACACAACTCCATGGTTGAAGCTTCAAGTCTGAGGGTTAAATGAAGACCTTCTGTAATATAGCACATCCATAACCCAACATGAGCACTTGACATTGCTAAATATATCAATCCGACAAACACTTTGATCAGTTCCCTAAATATCTATATTTATATCATTCATTTAAAATTTATCCCAATTTAAAGACACATACCTAAAAACAATAACGCAAACTGAAGTTTCTATTACTCTATTTAACTAGTTAGGTCTTCTTGAAGGAAAATTTAATTCCACAAAGCATAAAAAATGTGAAGTAAATGCAATAATTAGATCTAGGTCAAAAAGATTGACAGTGGAAGAGAGTTATTTTCGTACTGAAATTGAAGTTACAGAATTTAGAAAATGTGTGGAACTTACGGAGAGAGCAAGGAAGAAGACGAGCTTGAAGGAGAATTTGCGGAGCTCCTTGAAGAGTACATAGCAAAGGACTATGAAGCCAGAACCGAGGAGCGACAGGCTCGAAGCTCCGGTGTTCACTGCCGTCAGAATCCGGCGATCGCTCGCCGTCAGACTGCCCCACCCTGTCGCCATTATTCACTCTCTCTGAAAAATTGATGCTACTGTATTTGATCTGTTACCTTTTTTAGATTGCCATTTCAATTTTAGTGCCAAAGCTTGGGCTTGAAGGAAGGATATACCGAAGGGAAAGGTAAAAATATTTATATTTGTATATATATATATATATATATGATTTTACCACACCAATCTCACAGTTCGTCGCTTTGGCCGAGTGGTTAAGGCGTGTGCCTGCTAAGTACATGGGGTTTCCCCGCGAGAGTTCGAATCTCTCAGGCGACGATTAAATTTGTTTTTTACTCTTAACTTTTTATATTTCTAATTTATTTGTTTTTTTATATATTTCTACTTTATTTATTTTTTCTATTTATTGACGTGCAGAAAATTTAGCAGAAGTCACCCTACACAATTCTTGGACACATTATGCATACTTATGAGTGAACAGATTATGCATTTTCCACTAGCATTCTACTTGTCAAATTTCTTGAAACAAACAATAGAAAATGTTCATCAAAAATGGTTTTCAATAATGCCCTGAATCAGAACCATAGACAACCTACTTGTGTCTGCTTTAGCCTCCACATGACAGTGGCATATGACAACCTAAGGAAGCTGAGGCCATTAGAACACACGTTGATCGGATAAGAGCTAGCCAAAACTTGTTCATTGACTTGGTAATACTTTGTAGGATTTTGAAAGTACATTCTCACTTTTGGGAGCCAAAATCCATATAATTTTGGCCTTCGTCACCCAGAAGGAACTATTACTATAGAAATGATCGACGAAATTATTTTATTTTATTTTATTTTATTGCAAAATGTTGGCATAGGATATTACATACTCCTGGAACAAAGGATTGGTTCCCTCTTAAACTTTGTCTCAATTATTTTTAAAACTTTTTTGGTCCAAAAAAAAAATCCAAGGGGGGCTGCTTGGGCAGAGGATATATACAATTCGAGGGCCGGTGAGTGGTTGTTGAAGTCATCTCTATTCTGTTATTGAAGTAATCAAGTTGTTGCATCTATTTTTTCCTCATATGAGAGTGTTAGAATTCTGCATTAGATTGAGACACGAGGCAGGTGTTTGTCAATTCTCAAGCTTATTAATAATTTAAATAATTTTCACATTTAATATGATTTTTCTACTCCTGTAATCAAGTTGTTGCATTATTATTATTATATTTTTTTGCCTATATGACAGTGTTAGAATTCTGCCTTAGATTGAGACATGAAGTAGGTGTTTGTCAACTATTAGGCTTATTAATAATCTAAACAGTTTCACATTTTGTATGATTTTTCTATGTTAATACAATTCTGCACGCTAGCAAGAACTGAAATTCTCAGCCCCTTCACCAACCATCAGTCCCACCCCCAACCCCCCAGCAACAAAAAATTTAAACACAAATAAAAAGAATAAAATGCAATCTGAAATACATGAATGGTTTTTATTCAAAGTGGTCTTGTGGCCTGGTTGTATGCTCACCGAGCACCGGGTTATGTCAGCCTGGTGATATGCCAAAGTATGCATCTGTTGAGGAAACAATCCAATGCCTCATAACCAAATTTATATGTATCACTAAATTAATTTTGGTCGTGTACATACATCTCTACTGATCATATGCTGCTAGCTTGCCCCCGACTTCTTCTAATTCAACAATGAATTATCAGTTCACACACAGAAAGAAGTCTTTCCCTTTCCATAGCTCCTTTCTGCACAAAGTTCCCATAGACATATTCAAAATTTTAATTTTTTTTTTTTTTTGAACTGTTTGTGGCATAATGTGTAATCTTTTCAGGAGATTTGCTCTTTCATGGGACCATGTATAAGATCACTATGATTTAAATCAATCTCTTTTCCTAACAAGAAACAATTTTTTCCTCAATATCCAATCCGAAAAACCAGTTTATCTGGAGTACTCTTCCATGTGAACTACAAGCAGCATACTTTTCAAATATTTGCCATATTTCTGGCATATAAAACCATTCGCAGTTTCGTACTTGCAATGGTTTCTCATCTTTAGATTCTTAATAATTCTTGGGGGAGTTTAAACCATTCCCAAAATTCTTATACAAAGCAGGATCTGAATAGGATGCTCGTGGCATTGGCAATCTGATTCGATGTCTCCAACCGGGACCGGGTTTCTGCCTATAATAGTGGTTTCCATCATCTTCAAGGTCATCCCTTTCTGCTGCACTGTCCTTTGGTTCCTCATTGCTAACACAACTTCTGCCAACATTTTCATTTGGAACTATGTACACAAGCGGTCCAACTGATGCGTCATCGAAGTCCTGAAGAGGCTCCAAGATCTTTATCACTTCAGTCATTGTAGGCCTAGGCTTTGGGTGGTGGCTCAAGCATTTGTAAGCCAATGCAGCCACCTTCTGGGCACCCTTTGCGGAAAACTGCCCTTCCAATCTAGCGTCTATTAGACGGTCAAGCTTTCGAGGGTCATTTAATTGAGGCCTTGCCCATTCTACTAGGTTCTGCTCTCGAGCTGGACGGGACTTGTCCATTGCCCTTTTACCTGTTAGCAGCTCTAAGAGAACCACTCCAAAGCTGTACACATCACTCATTGTTGTCAAGTGGCCTGGAATTAGTGATGGTAGTGAATTGAGTTAGGTTAGACAAAGTCCAAGTCAGTAATAAGTACTTCTTTGAACCTTAAAGAGACAACATTGGGTGGCCTTTGAAAGTATATCTTCGATTTTGAAATTACCTCAGATTAATTGAAAACTAATGGAAAAATGAAGCAATCCAAAATGCACAAATCAATTGTTCATTATGAAATTGCTTCCAAAAATCCAAATGCAATCTAAATGCTTTTTCAGAGAAAAATTGGCTAGCATTACCAGTCATGATGTACTCGGGAGCAGCGTAGCCATGTGTTCCCATGATACGCGTCGATACATGTGTGTCATCTCCTTCTGGACCATCCTTTGCTAGCCCAAAATCTGATAGTTTAGCCTTGTAATCCTTGAAATAAAACAAGAGGTAAAATGATTAGTTTTGTCAAATAACAACTTTTTTTTTTTTTTTTCTTTTTCTATTTAGTATTTTTCATTAAAGTTTTCATTGTAACTGGAGCCTGTTAGATAACAAGATATGCTTATGGATATCATTCTTCAACAAATTGTAACTTATACACAGAAAATATACAATGAAGAAAGCTCAACAGGGTAACTTACAGAGTCTAACAAAATGTTTGAAGCTTTAAAATCCCGGTATATTACTGGTTTATCTCCTTCATGTAGGAAAGCTAGACCCTTTGCTGCTCCAACTGCAATTTTCATCCTGGTTGACCACGGCAAGGCAAGAGAATATCCTGTATATACCCAAAATGCACAATACATATGATGATGATGATGCTCATATGCTCAAGTGTGAGTACAAAATTTCTTATTGCATCGTTAAGGTTTTAGATTCATTTACTGAAAAATAAAAGGTATTAACTTCTCCTATTTTTCAAAAGATATGCCTACACTAAATATTTGCACTCCTCAGCCACCATACTATTACAATAGACCAAGGCCTACCGAAAAATTGATTTTGTTGTGGATGATTGTTAGGTCACTATCAGGTAATATTAGTACTTCTAATTTTTCTTTTAGTCCTAATTATTAAAGATCAATGAGACTCTTATATGTGTTTTATATGTGTTTGTATTGAAAAAAACAGATTTAATTTTGAGTTGTCTAGACCAAAATAAATGCTATAAAGAGCACAGGAAAGAAAAATGGATAAGCAACTTGCTTCTGAAAAGTTGATTTTCTAAGCTGCCTCTTGCCATGTATTCATAAACTAGGAGTCTGTGCTCATCTTCCCAACAGTATCCAATCAACTTAACAAGATGTGGATGCCTCAATTGTCCAAGAAAGATTATTTCAGCCTATATGAAAAAAAATCACTATATATAGTTAAAATAAAATACAATTAAAATCTTCCCCTTAAATTGAAGAAAAGACAATTAAAATGCTCTTCCACAATAAAAACTCAGATAGGAGCATATGGGTGTTTTGTCAAAATGATAAAAGAAACAGAGAAGAGAAGTTACTGACCAGCCACTCCCTGTGGCCTTGCAGGCCATCCAAGTCCAGCAACTTAACAGCCACAGGCTGAGCTTTCAACCCAGGCCTCAGCTTGTCATCAATGAACCCCTTGTGTACCGGTCCAAACCCGCCTTCGCCAAGCAGATTAGTTACTGAGAAATTGTGTGTGATCTCTCTGAGCTCTGCAAATGTGAATATGTGAAGGTTGGAGGCAATGAACGAATTCGAGAGATCGTTAACCGAGAGTGGTGACCCTGGATTGCTCAAGTCTGAGAGTGATAGCCTCTGAAAAGATTTTTGTTTCACAACCTCTTTCTTAGATTCTGGTAGAGGTCTATTAGTCTTGTAACATGTTGGGATAATATCTCTCCAAGTGATCTTCCTGAGAGTCATCCCTTAATAATCAAGAATGACAACAACAAATAGAAATAGACTTTTTCACAGAAAAACTGAGACCAAAAGCTCTTATTGTGAAAAGCTTTAGATAGATGAAATATTATTGGGAATGAGTTTAGACACCAAAGACTTTAGGCTTAAACCCATATATATAGAGGTTCCATTCACATTGTACCATTCTTTCTTGAAATTTTTCCCTGTAGATTGTAATACAAACTTGTGGAAGTTGGACATCTTTTTCTATCAATTTTCACATGAAGAAGATTATTATATTTATCTGATATGGAGTCCCAAGTCTCCCTATTGGTTAAAGGGCAACTGACATGGCTACCACTTGACTTTGTGGATTAACACATTATATATATATATATATATATTTGTCACATTAGGTGTCCTGCTATGTGCATGTTTTAAGCTCTTTTCTTAAAATAGTTTCGTTTGTTGATGTAATAAATAGCTATTGTTTGGTGGAATAATAGGAGCTCGAGCTAATAAATTGAGGGTTGGGGTATCACTTTGCTTAAAATAATGTAAAAGACAATGAGAAACTAGAAGGGTCTACAAATTTTAGGCCAGCTGCAGTCTTCTCCTGTGTGCACTTGGGGACAACAATTGTGTGTGTGTGTGTGAAATTATTAGAATTTCTTGGTTTTGAGAGCAAAAGGTTGAAAAACTCCAAAAGGCAAAAGCGACATATCAAAGAAATTGGGTCATGGAACAAAATTCCAGCCAAATAAAGATCCAAAATCCATCTTTTCAAAGGTAGACAAAATTGCTAGAAAAATCGTCTTTAATGTGTTACGTGAAATCCACTCGAGAAGGGTATATAGTTCCTCAATTTGCCTAAATATTTTCTGTTATTATATCCGGTAGGTGGAAGTTTTCTAAGCCAAACCCTCTCAGGTCAAGAATTTAAAGTCAGGTTTGTTAACTGTTACGTGTGTTCCAAATCTAACCCCATATATATATATACACACACACACATACATACACATATATGTGTGTGTGTATATGTGTTACAAGATCAAACTCACCAACCAGAAAATGGAATCGATTTTTTCAAAATTTCCAAAGTTCCAAAGACTATTTCTCTCATAATTACATAAACAAAAAAAACTTCTAGAACTTGATCTCATCTTTTAGCCGAACCAAAGACTTAAATTATAGGGCCATACTCAATTGTTTATTTAAGAAAAATGGATTATGTCCATCCCTAACCAGATATTATGGTTCCCTCTATGTGATCTTTAGACTCCAAGGTCAACTCTATTGTGGCAATCACAACCAATATTGGTTCAGTTACTTTTCCCAAAAATTGCTAGTGTTTTTTTTTCTTAGTTGACTTTTTTTCTTAATTTTTCAATCATTGTATGATGGATGTTTTATTGTCATTCTTCATTATAGGCAGGCCATAACTTATTAAAACCCAAATAATTTTTTTTTAATGTAGCTTTGATTTGAAACCATCTTAATATATAACAACTTATTTAGTTTCTCATCAATGGACCACCATGTTAATATATGGAGTGTTTGAAAGTAAGATAACTGAAAGATTCAATGGATCATTAGATGTGTCAATGTAAAATATCATTGTTTTATGTAAACGAAAAAAAATCATTTTCCATCTACATAAATATAATCAGATGCATTTAAAAGTCATATATTATATCACGACTTTATATGTATATAATATATATGTATAACATCCGGGGTCGTAGTAATTATGAAAATGTGTCTAAACAATAGAGTGAACTTTAAACATTTAAGAAACATCCGGAATGCATTGAGTGATTTGTAAAATTGAATCCATATATGATACATGTAAATTTAGACTTCACTTTATATATAACTTATCTACTCACAATTTTTCCATTAAAATATCCCCCCCTCCATTTTTTTTTTTTTGTTTTTTTGTATGACCTGCATGTGAATGAAGGCGCACAAGCAGATTAAACCAAAAACCTAAAAGGTCTATGCATATTGATCAGTCTGAAATGAAAAAATTTCCACTCACATGTTGTTGAAATGTCAAATGAAAAGGGTGAACAAACCAATCTACCCACAACCACTTGCTTTTACAACTCTAAATTTAGAGGAACGCTATATATATATGCGTGTGAGAGAGACTAATTGTGTTTGTATAGATATTTGGTAGTAACCACATTCAACATGAGTTTTGTATGACAACAACAGTTTTGGTTTTTTATTGATTGAAGACTACTTAATTTTACATCTAATAACACACATGCAATTTGCAAACTAGGAAAAACAAAATAACACATGCACGGATTTTTAAATAAACATCACTTTCAGTGAGATTGTAAAAAAAAAAAAAAAAAAAATTTATTCTCCGACTACAAATCTGTTCTCACCTTCACTAATAATTTATTCTCTTTCTTCAACGTTTTCAATTGATGTCAAACTGCACTTTCTAAATTAACAATTTTTTATTAATCATATTTTCTAAATAATTGATATTTTTGTTTTTGAGATCCAAAAAAAAGTATAAAAAAATTAATAACTAAATAAAAAATTGAATTCTAAAGAGTATATATGTATATGTATATGTATAAAAAATAATAATTTGTTTTGTTGAGTTGATTTGAAGCTGAGCTGATTTAGAGCCCCATTAAGTTAATTAAGGCGTTATTCAACAAATTTATATCAGTTGAAACTTCAGATTTTAATTGATATGATTGGCAAAGACATGTCATTTTGTGCATAAATAGATATATATATATATATATACACACACACATATTTGGCGGCTCTGTGACAGATTAGTGAAAGTGGAGGGTTGTTTCATCTTGCTCCCTCTCTCCACCAGTGGCCGATATTTGCTGTCGAATTATGAGCGCCTGATCTTAGTCATGGATTACGCATTTGCTTCTTTTCCCTTACTTTGCATAAAATAATAAAAATAATATTTAAATGCCTTTGTTAGCCTAAATTTTTTAAAATAATAGGTGCCAGTTAATTAACAACTAATTATGCTTTGCCAAATTTGCTGGAGTGATAACCCTGCGGGATAGCTCAGTTGGTCAAGTCTTGGGTTTGCTCTCCAATGATTGCCGGTTCAAGTATCTGTAGAGCCACTGGAGGCTTAGCTAGTCGTTAACTTTAGGGCCTCGTAAGATTAGTTAAGATGCGCACAAGCTGATCCGGACACTTACGATTATTAAAATAAAAAAAAAAAAAAAAAAATCTACTGGAGTGACATTATTATTAGTTGGGTTTCTCCTTTTTCAAAGAAAAAATCTTTCAAAACCATCACGCACAAGCTGACCCGGACACTCACAATTATCAAAAAAAAAAAAAAAAACAAAATCTGCTGGAGTGACATTATTATTAGTTGGGTTTCTGCTTTTTCAAAGGAAAAATCTTTCAAAACCATCATTCTCATTTAGCTTTCCTTTATATTTCAGTAATATTGCAGCTTGGCTCTTTGATTTTGGTTTTGTTGTTGCTAGTTTGCTACTCTTTTGAGTTCTAATTCAGGGCTTTTTTTTTTTTTTTTTTTTTTTTTTTTTTTTGCGTCAACTTCGAGACAAATTAAAAGTTAAAACTCATGTAAATTAATTTTCATTTTTTTATGAGTGGTCTTAAGAAGATTAGCAAATTGTTGTTGCATGAAAAATAAAAAATAAAAATAAAAATAATAAAATTAAATTATACGCATCACTTATTTTGTGGTGCATAAGCTCGGGAGTAGTATCTAAGAAGTTATGGGAGGGGGACAAAAGCGAATTTAGTGTAATTTTATTATAATTTTAGAGAGAGGCAGAGTGAAAATTTTATTTTTATAAAAAATTTCAATGTGCCTCCATCCCTACTTGGGAGTCATACTAGAGGATCACGTCAACTACGGCATCTACAAACCTCACGTGTGATTGCGCACTTGTACTAAGATTGTAGATTTTAAAATACAATGCAATTGTAATGTAAAGGATTCAAATTCGTACGAAGTTAAAAGAGCAAGTATTTGGTGTACAATACACTATGCATCAAGGACATCACAACTATTTTTGTATTATAGGTGCATAAATAAATATAGAGGAGTGCTAATTGCAGTGGCACATGCGATTGTCCTTGCATAATTGTACTCCTAATTGGTTAGGATTGTTAGAATTTCATACTAATTAATTAAATGTCTCCTACCATTGTGGGACATTTAAAATATAAATTTATAGGATAAAAGTGCCCTTTTAATTATTATTTTTTTTCCTAAGTTGATATGTATACATCCATAAATAAGTTTATATATATATATATCAATAACAGTCTCATTATGAATTATGATTATTTTCTTTCTATCTATTTTTTTTTTAATGGATTCTTTTATTTCTTTTTTTAAATGTCTTTTAACTATATACCAAGTGTGTATATAATTACTATATATATCATCTAATATCAATATCTCTGTAATATGAATCCATATATAGTGTATATATATAGATATATATATATATATAATTACACAAAAACGAGAGCTTATGTATATAAAGATACTCAATCTATATATTTATATACAAAAAGAAAAGCTGCTATTTTTATATATAGATACTCAATTTATATATATATATATATATATATATATATATATAGAAAGGAAAACTGTTATTGGTATATATAAATACTCAATATATATACACACACACACACACACGTCATCCAAGTGAGGATTGAGAAGAAATAATAAAAATAGATATTTTTGTCTCATAAATTTAATTTTAAATATTTCGTAAGAGATATCTAATTAATTAACGTGTAATTATTAAAATTCTGACTAATTAAGAATGCAACTGCAATTACCTCCTCATAAATATATAATATGGATGGACACGAACGATTTTATTCTCGAAAGTAAGGCCGGACCAAGATCACCTCCAGTGAAATAATACCCCATTTTCTTCATTTTTGTTAATGAACAGTGTATTGCACACCAAATACCAGTGGTATGTTAAAATACCATTTTGTGTAAAATATACATGGCCACCTATGATGTGTAAATTTTTTTCATCTCCACCAGTCTGTTAAGATACATTGCCACCTAGGTTGTTTTTTAGCCTTTGTCAATGACTATTGCAGTTACTGGTAGTTACTTCACCTGGGTTGTAATGTTTTCTTGTAGTTACTTCACCTGGGTTGTAATGTTTTCTTGTTGGGCTTGTTCCCAGCCTTGTAATGTTTCCTTGTTGGACTTGTTCCTAGCCTCGTCTCAAGCTTTGGCTTGCTTTCTTCATCTTTGGGCCCAATGCCTTTTTGTAAATTCTATTATTCAATAAAAATTGCTTTAATTTTCGAAAAAAAAAAAAAGAAAACATTGCCACATCACCAATGTGTAAAAGGGTTGTGTATTTTATACGGCCAAATCGACATATTTCCTTTTTCATCCATCTTTCTAATTCCATTAAAGAATCAATCATATATTAAGTAAGTTTGTAAAAGTTATATGGGTTCATGACACATGGTTGATTGTTATTGGGAGATATGTTTTTACACAAAAGGTATAAAATAACCGTTCGAGCTAAAATTAAATAATTCAAATTTTTTGTATAAATCCATCATGATACATTAGATTTACAAAATAAAATATACACAACGGTTGGAGATACTCTAAAGTAGGTAAAAATGTGTATTTGTTTTATACACAACTTCCATATATATATATATATGTCTACACTGTTCACACATACGGTTTCTTCTTCCCTCCCTTCTTATCAGCAACCGATTTCAGCAACCTAAATCCCGCTTTCCAAAAGTTCACCATTTCAGCAACCCATATTTTTTTTGTTTCCAAAATATTGTTTGTTGTGAGTCTTTTAGTTAATTTTCGCAAAAAATATCAATCAACCCAAATTGAGCAGTTGCTTAGATTTGCCCAAAGGTTTCAGAGAGTAAAAGATCATTTTTTACTTATTATTTTATTCTTCTTTCAAATCTCGATAATTCTCTTTGATTTATTTCCAAAATGAATCACACATCTATTTCTCAATTCCTTTGCTTTCATAAATTTTTCCTTCCTTTTCTTGTCATTTTATTCCAAATTAAGATAGCAATATTGGAACAGAGCAACATCTGGCATGATTTTTGTTTAATTATTTGTATACTGCATAACATCCAAAGCAGTTTGTAATTTAAGTCAATATAAATTGTACGCAACATTTCAATATAATCCTAATACATTGTTTGTACATAACATTCCAACAATTTGTAATGTTCGTAACATCCTAACATAAACCTATTTGTATCCCAAACAGTACGTATTTTATTTCATACTTATGTTACACGTAAAATCCAAACAAAAATTTACTAAAGAGAGTGCAAACCAGTGGTGCTTGTGTTCTTTAATCAGATAAGAAAAAACAAACCCAAAATCGAGATTTAGATGAACAAAGTTTAGATCTATGGATGATATTATGAAATTTCTGCATAATACTTTAGTGAAATTACATGGGTTTTTGGAGTTTGTTTACGTTTTGAGGTGAAGTTTTAAAGTTTAAAAGTTTTTGTGAGTCCTTGGAGAGTCCATTAATAGAAGCTGATAAAGTTTCGAGAGAGAGAAAGGAAAAAGAAGATGTATTTTCAAAAAGGACATTATATTTTAGATATAATATTTAAATACGTTTATATATATAGAATATAATAGGTGATAAAAATTTAGTTATCCAATACTTTTAATTGATGCGACTCATTCCCTTTCACTTATTTCAAAATGGAAAAAAAATGGACTACTATTTCTATTTCAGTGGTGGTGATTTTCCATCTTAGGCGCCAGTAGAGCACCTGTACACACGTGAAAGTTGTGAGTGAGGCTACATTTGTCTTTTCAAGAGGCAGAGGCTAAGAAAAGAGTCAACCACGAATAAGGGCAGAGAGGAACCACCGTCCCGCAACAACAAAAATACCACAAAAAGGGTGACCTGGAGAGCAGTCAAAAAGTCAAAGATATTCCTCCTTTTTTTTTATTAATTTATAACAATTCTCCTTCGGTGACTTGTTCCGCTTCCTGTTACCCAAAGCATATTCCTTTCCTCCATTCTCTGAATCTCTCTCTCTCTCTCTCTCTCAACTCAAAAATCCCTTGATCACACGTAACTGGAACCCTAATTGGCCTTTCCATCGAAGCTTCTCGTTTCAGGTTTGCTTTTTTTTTTTTTATCCCCCCCACATTGATGTGTATATACGTGATGTAGATCTAATCATGTAATTATGTATTAACAAGTAAATTGATGATTTAGCTAGCCTCATTTTAGGGTATTGATTAAGCTAGATGTGTTGGAATAATTGTAATTCTGTTAGCTCAAACCCCTGTTCTTGTTGCTGTTAATGGCTGCATTCATTTGTCCTACTCCGAGCAAGAGTTTTTTTTTTCTTCTTTCCTTTGCATGTATCTATATTTATGTATGTGTGTGTATATATATGTCAGAAACTAATGCGATTTGTTATTACTGTATTTGTTTGTGTTCGGCTGTTCGTTTTTCGATTTGAGGTCATTTCTTTCTTTGTTTTGAACAGTTTTTCTTGTAGAAGCACATTTCTTGCAAAATCACACTTTTTTTGGTCAAGATTGTCAAGAGTTTTATTTTATTTTATTTTTTATTTTTCCCCCGGCAAGGAGGATTGTCAAGAGCTTCATACTACAAAAATTGCTATCTTCATTAAATCTGAATAACTTATGCTTCTTCATTGTAATTAAAACTTGTGCAGGCGTATCATTCTCGTTTCCCACTAAGAAGGTGTGAATTCGTTGAATTGGGAATAAAGACAATTAAAAAGTCATAATCAAATATGCTGAATAATGGGTGGGTTTTTTTGGATCTTGATGGAGGTTCACCTTATGTCTTTCCTGTAGATCCACTTGCACAGCATAGCTTGGGGGGTAATTTGTTGTCCCAGATTGGTTCATTTGTCGACAGTTCTCTTTATCATTCTAGATTCTTGTATGTACCCGGAAGTCGGGCTATTCAGGAAGCTTTTTCCTCCATGTCAAAGTTTGCTGGTGCTCTGCTATTTTTGTTTGCTGGTGGGTCAGATTCCACCATGAGGCACAATTTACATGGCAATTCACACGGTTCAAATCCTTCAAACAATAAGTCCTCTATGCAAGTAAGGCGCATAGTTTCTACTAGACAAAATCTCTCAGGAGTTCTCTTCAACCCGGTCTTTCTTGGTAACATTCCGGGTTTCATTGTCAGGCAACTGTTCAGAGAAGCTGAACAGCTTCATTCGTTTCCATTCCTCTCACTAGCTGCTGCTTTGGTACCGCCTCTTGGCAATGTGTAAGTTATTGATAACATTATGAAGTCTTCTTTTACATATAACTCTGTATTTTCAAATATCTATTTGTATTTTCATGAGATTTTTATATTCAACTTGGCAAATTTTAACCGTTCCTGTTGCCTGATATTCATGATTTCACATTGTTTTAAAAAGTTCTTTCCTTGTATATGGCCATCAGATCTCATAATGTATTAGCTGTTCCACTGGAGAATAGTGATACACAAATGCAAAGAGGCATGGATCAAAGCCCTTGTCAGGTTGAGCATGGGGGATGTTCCGATATTTCTTTTCTGGATTTAAATTGGACAAGGCATGCAGTTGAACCCAGAACAGGCATTGCATTCCCTACAATTATAGACAATATTTTTGCTAGAGAAAGTAATTCCAGTTTAATGTCAGAGGTCAATTTCAAAACTTTCAAACTTCTTGTTTATGGGTTCTTTTTGGTTCTCATAACAGTAGTATCCATAACACTGTACTCATACACCTTGATCTGTATGATTATGTTTGTTCAGCTGCTTTTAAGATGCATTCCATACTTATTTGATGGATTTTCTGCAATTTCTATTGTTTTGCATGTTTTTCCTTTGACATTGATATTGTCAACCCTATCCTGGAAATTGTGAAACAATGAATTCATGGTGGCATTTATGCCAGTGGATAGTAATATTTTATGCTGTTAAGCAAAATAGACTTATCCGCTGCACTATGATTTTCATGATAGTAATATATGGTGTAATTTAGCACTATAATTTTTTCCATTTAATCATAGAAACCCAGCTTCTTAACTGCTACACCACTCTCTGGTGTGCTTCCAGTTATGCTTTTGGATGGTTTGTTTAGAATGCTGCCAATTGGTCCAATGTCTTGAGTATTTTACTGGAACTTGATTGTAAAAACTCTATATTTAAGGTGTGATTCCCAACTTCAAATGTTTTCTAATTACTAATTATTATTATTTATTTTGAGCTTGAGATTAAGAATTCATAAAGTTGCCTTTGTTATTGAGTCAAACAATTTGTACTCTATCCATTTTTTAAGCTAGCTATGTTTTTCACAGAATTAGAACTAACTAGGACAAGGTGATATTGCTGGCATAGAGAATTCTAGTGACTACTAGTCATTCAACCAGCAAATTTTTTAAAATCATGAGATCTATATTGATTTATGCAGCTTTAGAATCTTTTAGGGTTTCCAAGCTTTTTACTGCCTTCCCTGGCTGTATCAAAATATGTTGTTCTTTGGCTGTGTTAAAATATGTTGGTTTTTTGTGGTGGCTTGCTCATGACTTTGGTTGCTCTCAAGATTGACTTCCAACTTGTTGGGGACTTTTAAAGGCTTGGGTCGTGATGATGGATTTATTTGAGAGTTTTTCTTTTCTTTCTAATTCTATTTTGGGGTGTCTGCATATTTGAATTTCTTGGCTGCTGTGCCACATTTTCTTCTCTTTCTCTCCCTAACCTCTCTTTGTTAAAAAGGAAATTGAAAAATTATCTATATGTAAGCAATGAAATTTCTGAAGAGGAATAAAAATTTCTCAGAAGTTTTGACTAAAATCTTGAATACCCTTGCCTTATCTTTCAATACTTTCTTTGTGAAATTTTAATATTTGAAAGATGCAACATATTTTGATATGGTGTGATGCAGAACAGAATTAGGGTTTTATTGATAATTGGAATTAGGATTCAATTGTAAAATCACAATTCTGAAAAAATAAAATTGAATTGAAGCTTTTATTTCATTGTTTAAATGACTCTTATGGAACTGAAATTTTAACAAGAAAAAGATTAACAAAGAAGAAGACAAAAGAGAAAATGAGATGAAGATGCACAGAAAGGAGAGCAACAAAGAATTGAAGATTGCTAGTTGAGTAAAAATAATTGCTTTTGAACTGAGATGGATTAAACGGCAGAAACATAATTTGGAGAAAAAATAATCAAAATACATGATTAAGCACTGTGTATGAAATCAGGGATGTAGTCTAAATTCTTAAAAACCGAAGATTCCACGCAACATGTTGAGTTAAGGAGATCTTTCGACATAAAAATGTGAATCTCTTCAGAAGTAGTGATGGACTTCTTGATTGGTAACCACTTCTTTTTCTCCCTGCTCCAATACGCATAATCAGGATTGATAGTTTTTCCTGATCCTGCGTTTTAGTAGTGATATCTTAGTTCTGTATTTTTCCATAGATATTATATAAATTAAAAGAACAAAGATTAGATTAGAAATTGAGAAAAAGAGCCCTAAGAAAGAAAAATGACACATTTCTTTGTGAGAATCGATGAAAAAAAAAATAGAACATGGTGTAGCACAATGGTATCTCCTCTACCCCCCAAAATTGGAAGATTGAGGGTTCAAGTCGCCATAAGAGTAAATTGGGTTTGTTTTATGCGATGGTGCTGCAAGTAGAGAGGATGTGTCTTCTTGAGCTGGCTCATCGTTGTTTGGCATTTTGCTTGTAGATCAAAAAAAAAAAAAAAAGGAAAGATGAGTGGTGCTGTTCTGCTTCTCACGTTCCAGATATAGAATTGCAAATTTCTTTGTACCGCAAATAATTCACATTGTGTGGCTTCTGTTTATCTGCAATTTTATGGACTGAGGTGCAAAATTACAATTTCAATCAGCTCTGAAATTGTGTGTGTGTGTGTGTGTGTGTGTGTGTAACCAAAAACAAAATTGTGTTACAGTAAAATTAGAACTTGGAGTCCCAATTTAATTTGTGTTGCATGAATGTGCTTGCAATTTCATGATCATGACAACGGTCTAATTATTACTCCTTACGAGTCTTGCGCATTTCATTTTCTGTTTTAAGTGGTAGTTGTTCAATACAGTTCTGACTTGTTGACATGAGTTTTTAATGCATGTCATCTTATCCGTATGCTAGCATCATGCTTTCGTCTGTTGAAGTCTTGGATTTATCTTTATCACAAACTGGTTGTGAACAATTTCTGCCTGCACTTCAGGTTCTTGTTGGAACTGGATCCAGAACTATGACAATAATCAAAATTAAGTCCCTGAAGGTCTATGCATTTGGTTTTTGTAAGGACTACTGAAGCTCACTTGACACTTACAAGTTTGTAGTATTGAACTTAGGAAAACCCTTGCTATATTTTTTACTTTTCTTGCTTTTTCTTGTAGATGTTCATCCTTATGATGTCTGTCAGAAATTGGGTCCAAAGTATGCTTCTACACCTCTTGGTGAACTGAACAAACGCCATGATTTTTATGAGGATCTTCTCAGGTATTTTTGCAATAGATGTTTAATCAATTCAACCATGATTCTCAAGAATCTCTGGGTTTTTTTTTTTTTCCTAGTGTTAAAGGGCCATAACTTTGTTGAGTGGCAAAAGTTAGGGTTGACAAAAACGCGATGGCAGCCACTTCTTTAAAATATGTCATATTTTAGATTTGTACTTAATCTGTCCCTTCTTAAAAAAATCCCAAATGGGCCCTCTAAAATTTTGAGGCCTGGGCTCAAGCGCATTGGACTTTGACCGATTAATGGCCTGGGCCAAAACCAATGCTATATTGTTTCTTTTTCTTGTGGTATTAATGGTGACTGTTCAGTGCAATGTGATTTTTATGAACATTGTACGTCCTTGGTTAGTTTTGTCTCTATGATTTTGATCATAGTTGTTAAAGGCGCGCCTAGGCTCCAAAAAAGCCCCAGGCTCGAGCGCCTCAACCTACTATAGGCAAGGCCCCTTCAATCAGGCTCACATAAAACTCTCAAGCTCACGCTTTTTAGTAGGCTCCAGGCCCAAAAAAGGCGCGCCTTGTATTTTTTAATCAATTATTTGTATCATTTTCCTGTTTACTTAATGACTACTAAATTAAAGGTTCTATATCATATATCGTATTGTTTTAAACTTTTGAAATATTTGACAAAATTCATAAATTTATGGTTCACTACTCACATTAACTGCAATTAGTGCTTGATTATGAATATATATAATATTATTTGTTTAAATATGCATTACTTTATGCACGCGCCCTACTTCGATCAGGCTCGCGCCTTATATTGCGCTTAGGCTCCAGAAGGCCTTTGGCGCCTTAGTGCACCTTGAGCCGTTAACAACTATGATCTTGATATGGATCATTATGGGAGAGAACACATACTTGTTGGTTTAATGAGAAAAATGTTTGTCTGGGAGCCTATTAGTTTATCTGAGATGAGGAAATATGAAGAACCAAATCAATGTAAAGAGATGAAGCACTACAATCTGGTCCTCTTAATTTCCAAAAAGTGGCTCAAGTTGAATCATGAGATGAAAGAAGAGGTTGAAACAGAATCCTAGATTGTTAGCATTAGTGCAAGTAATTAAAAAGAGGCTTAAAGACTGTAATTTAAATTTGAAGGAGATTACTTTGGATAATCAAGGTAATTTGGTTCAATTTAGATATCAACTCAAGGATTTGTCTCTTACAATTGCTTAAACGATTTCTTGTCACCATTCCTGTGTTTATGGTTTTGGTGTGGGTGCTGCAGGCAGGATATTAACATGACTGTCAGGCTTGTGGTTAATTGCAATGGGATTAAGATCAATACTGTTAAAAAGTAAGTTAAATTTCTCCTTTCAGACATACATTTGAAATATAAACCTTCTGATGACACCCTGGTAATGATGAATCTGCCATGGATTTAATTGAAATTCATTTTATGTGGGAAGGAAAGGTACTTTATCTCTATTTTGTTGTCAAGTTAATGATGTTGATGTCATTTTTCTGAATTATCATGATTGTATTACTCTCTCTTTTGCTCTCTATCTTCTAGTGTCTATATGTCTATCATGTTAATGCTTTGTCCTTTCTATTTATATATGTTTTTAACTTCTTGAATTAGTTATTTATTTATTTATCGGGAGGGCGTGGGGTTGGCATTTAAAATAAGAACAATTAAATAAATGAATAAAACAAAGTCCATCATATAGCACATGATGTAACACTATCTTAAAAAAACTTGGACGCCACCAAACTAGTCTGCGCCATCTACAAACTATTTTATAATAAATAATCAAAACAATCTAGAAATACAATTGTGAAGCAACGAAGGTAAATAAATACAAAACTCACGAGTCTCTCCAGCATTCTTCTCAGCACCATCCGCATAATTCCCATCACTCACGCCCTCACTTTTCATCATCACTTGTCAGGATTGCGGTTCTCTTCATGTTCCTATGGAACACCTTATAAGATCCGGAGATCTATTACCACCTCCGTCCCATAAAAAGTGTCCCTTTCTAGGAACTCAACTTTTTAAGAGTGTAATTTATATATATATTTTAATTATAGTGGTAGAGAATGAATTCCAAATACACCCTTCTATGGTGGGACAACATGCTTTTATAACTTCAAGGCTAGGAGGGTAAATTAGTAATATTAAAAAAATTGTGCATTGAATTTTGAATTGGGACAATTATTTTGGGACAGCCAAAAAAGGAAAGGTGGACATTTTTTGTGGGACGAAGGGAGTATTATTTGAATATTTTGTTTTAATATATTTTTTATAAAATAAAAATAAAATAGATGAAACAAAAATAAAAAAATGCGCCTTCTGGTCGGAGTCATAATCAGGTCGGGTTGATCAGGATTGAGATATGCCTCCACAATATCGTATTACAAGAAGAGTTCTTTCTTTCAGATATAAAGTCAGTGCCCGACGGATAGAGAAGTTTATTTGCTTTCACCTAATGTTGTCAATTCTTTCTTTGCCACCACTCCTCTACTAAGTCAATTAGGAGGGGTGATGTCAAACTGGAAAGCAAGCTTATTCATAAGAGAGTAATGTGACTAAGATTCCCACTTTAACTAACGAATATAAGGGAAGCCAGCCATGTCAAAATCATGGACCAATTCTAAGGCAACCCGCTGTAGAGGTAGACGATCCTGAGGCGCCACCATCTCCAATTTTCAGTCTTCTTGCCTGCTTTTCCCTACAATGTTAGTTTCGAGTCCTTGGCTCTTCAAGTCGAGCTACCACTATTGAAAGGCGTAGACTACAATATTAGATTTATGGCTTTATTCAATATTTTAATATAGAATACCTTTGCTTTTGTCTGTAGGTTTCAGTTTGAAGACCACACCTGACTACCCAAGACTTGATTTCGTTATCCAAAATAATCTTTATTGGTGTTAAAATTGATGGTTTGAAGTTTTTGTGTATGATGACTTGATGATGTTGGATAAAAACCCAAGAGCTCCATTGCTCTTGTTTTATGTATGTGGTCACTATCATAATACTGGAATCTTTCTATTGCTCGGTTGTATATTCAGAGTGAGATCGTCTAGTGATTGCAGCATTTAGAACCCTAAGGTCTATGCATTTGCTAAAACTAATAATAATAAGAACTAGATTAACAAAACCACAATTTCTATAAGTGGCAAATGTATAGTCAGAATGGGATCATTTAGTGGTTGTGGCTGTCTGAGTGCTGCATTTAGACTTGACTATAGTCAGATTGACAGAGTCTTGAGGTGTGCCAAACCACAATTATACAAATGCAGAATAAATGAACACAAATAGGATGCAAATAACTCAGAAAATTTATAGTCATGTATGACTTATGATGGGAAAAAGTGAGAGGGAAAAAAAAAAAAGGACAAAAAAAAAAAAAAGAAAAAGAAAAAGAAGAGAGAGAGAGAGAGAGAGAGAGAGAGAGAGAGAGGATATGCATGGTCTTTCTGAGTAAGCCCGTATATGTTAATAGCACCTTTTTTAAGTGTGAGATGTGTGATCAGCACTGATGAAGAAAATGTTAGTTTCTCTAATTCATGTGTTGTAATTCTGTTGCAGTGCTTTGGAGAAATCCCTTCGAGCCCGGTTAGTGAAGGTGAAACATATGCTTATGAATTTTTTTTTCCTCATGGTCTTGCATAAAGTTTTTCTTTATTATTATTATTATTACCAGGAGAATAAATAAATAAATAAGATGAGTATTGCTGATTCATGACAATTATCTTTCCTTCTCAAGGCAAACCCAGACACTGATTATCACTGCTTGAGGGCATTTGGTTCTCTCTTCAAACAAGATGTTCCCTTACATTCGGTAACAAGTGATATAATCTCAAAATCTCTAATTTATTTCTATTTTTGAGTGCTATGAAATCTCATCTTACTCAAAATTTGATTTTTTTAGGGAACAACTATTGATTTTCGACGTACTGCTGATGGACAACTAATTACTGAAAGTAAGTAGTCATCAACAGGAAGAAGTTTCTTAATTGTAAATGTGTTGTTATGTCCATGTACATCCCCCACCCTCTTTGCAGAAGCACCCAGTCAATGGTGGTTTGAGTTCCTTATCCTGATGAGATGTTCCAGTATGCCCACTATATATTAGATATATTTTTAATTTATAGCACACGGTTTAAAGTAGAACATATTTTTTTGCAGTGGGAGGTAGTCAGATTGGAGCAGTCCATAGCAAGGATTTATGTAGTAAGTAATTATTCTTCAGATCTTCTAGTTGGCACATTTTTAAGTCTGTCAATATATCCCCAAAAAATAGCATATGATTAAAGGGAAAATACTAAAATTATAACATGTAAATTCATTTATAGGGGCTTTCTTTGACATGTACATTGGAGATGTTCCTGTGTCTCAGCAAACAAAAGAAGAGATTGGTAGAAATGTTGCAAGTATCATAACGAGATGCTAAGGTGGGTTGTTGCCTGCCTCCATTGTCTTCACTTTTAAGAACAGACAATGGGTTGCTGGTTTAATGAAGTTCTATATGCCTATTACGTAGTTACGCTTTTCGATTGGGGGTCTTTGGCTTTCATTCTTCTAGTTGTAGCTGATTTAGTGTGGCATAGAAGTGACATGCCTATCAGTATAATGCAAACCTAGGAAGGATAGCTATAATTTAAATAGATTTTTAGGATTAGTTCAAACCTTAAGTATACCTGCTTCAGGATTCTTTACAGCTATGTGGGGATTTCCACTGTACCTGTAGACTCCACTATAGTTGTAGTAGTTTTTTCCTTCATTTTCCCCAACAAACACGGGAATATATTGTATTAATTCCAATATAGAATAAATATACGTATAAGAAAATAGATGGGATATTTCTGTACCCATGACCTTCTGTAAAAGGTGAGAAAAAATGAGTCTATGTTGATTCATTATTTTGCTATGCGATAGCACTGTTGATAGTGATCTGTGTTTTGACAGCTTATATGGTAGCTGTGTAAGTTTGTAATACAAGGTAGAAGTATCCTTTTTTATATAATAAAATTATGAACTCCAGTTATTATTATTAATCTGCAATTTCTTTTTCCTTCTTTTCTATTTTGTTTAGTTCTTGAAACTTGCGAGGTTGTGTGAGTACTGAATACAGAATTTCTAAAGTTCCTTCTTCCAATAATCTGCAACTGAAAGCAAAAAAATCAACGCTGTTTGGTTCTAGTTTCTATTCATAATAAACTTGAAACATTTGTTATGGTATGGAAGTTTTTATACATGATTCCGAATTGAAAAATGAACTCATCCGATTCACGTAAAAATCTGGTTTGACCGTCATAAAATTTCAACTCAAACACTATTCTTTTCATAATGCAACTATCTTAAAAAAATTTCAACTCAAGCATGAATATTTTCATAACCTGGTTATCTTAAAATTTCCTTATACATAATTGATTTTAAATGACCTACTTTTTATTCTGCCAAGTGATTTTGTATTTAACAATGAAATACACAACACTTCTAAATTTTTATACTTAATAGCCTAGGATGTGAAAACAAATATTCTAATTAAAGCAAAGGGAAAAAAAAATAATAAAAAACAAAAGGCATTCATAAAGTTATACTGGTACCTATTTTCTTTTATGTTGGGAAATGCATAATATTTGATATATAATTTAAGATGTTTATGCATATTTGATATATAATTTAAGATGCATAAAGTTATATTGGTACCATATTTTTTATTTTTAATGAAAATAGATTGGTTTAATTTTTTAAAATGAAATAATTAAGCATCTTAATTTTAAAATAAAAAAGAAAAAGAAAAGAAGTAATAACAAAATATAATTTATTTGAAATATATGTATTGAATCAAAAAATCATTTTAGATGTTTACATTTTTAAGAAGTTGGGACGTTTATAAAGTGTAAAAAAAAAGTGTGAACAATATAGTTTTTTTTTTTTTTTTTTACTTTTTTTTTTATGCATAAATTATTCATGAGGGTAGATTGGTCCAATTTATATAATTGTAAAGTTAAAAAAGTCTTCTAAAAGATCAAAGGGTAATTTGGTCAATTTTTTTATGTAGAGGGGTGTCTTTGTCTATTTTTGAACCTGGGTGTCTTTATCCAAAAAATAGGTAAGTTTCCTTTGAATGTCTTTTTGCCAAACTTCAGAGGGTGTGATTATGTTTACCCTTTTATAAAATAATAATTTTGTCCTTTTGTATAATATGTGTGTTATTGACTTTTTATACTCAAAATCACTTTCTAATCGGTTCTAAATGGTCACCCAATAATTTGTCCAAATTCAAGGATTTTCTTCTTTTCTTTTTTTAATTTTTAAGATAAATGCAAAAAACTATCCTAATCGATTACCTTTTTACAAATAACACCCTTGAATTAAAAACTATCTCCCTGGACAATTAATTTGTTACAATTAAGGACAAACTCAATACAAAAGAGTATTTTATAAATTCTCATTAAATTATTTTTATTATCTTTTCTCTTATGTAAATATTAATTATATTATCTACCTTAATTTTATTATTAGTATTAATTTATCATAAAAAAGAAAAAGATAAATAAATTTGTAACTACAATTTCTAAATTGATTAACTTATTAGTAAAATATATCTTCTTTTTCATACAATATATTGATTAAAAACTAATAAAATACTTTTAAAAAATACATTCTTTTCATGTAATATATTCATTAAAAATTAAAAATTAATTTTTATATTCTCCATTCAATTTGCATAAATTTACATTTAATTTTGAAACTAATTATTTAAAACTACAATTTCTAAATTGATTAACTTATTATTAAAATATATCTTCTTTTTCATACAATATATTGATTAAAAACTAATAAAATACTTTTAAAAAATACATTCTTTTCATCTAATATATTCTCCATTCAATTTGCATAAATTTACCTTTCTTTAATTATTTATTTTGAAAGGTAAATTTATGCAAATTGAATGGAGAATATTTCATCAAATTAGTATGAATTTTTTTCATAATTTATTTATATAAGAAAAATATATTAAATGTAATTCAATACGAAGGGGCATTATAATCATTTAATAAAAAATAGTATAGTCATTAGAGTATGTTGCAACAAAATATGATAGTTTAGAAAATTTTATGGACAAAATAAAGTTCAGAGTGTTATGTACAAATTTAAACATAATTTAAGAGGTTTTTTTGCACTTTACTGTAATTTTTATTTATCCTATGGGAAGATAAATTGAGAGATGAGTCGCATGCAGAAAACACCCCTGTAACATCCCTGTAGTGCGTATAAACCCTTAATATTTTTTAACCACCCCTACGTAAAAATAGGTGTGAATTAGTACCTTTTGTCGGTTCACCGATACTTAAATACCCCTCTCTATAATTTAAAAAAAAAATTATTAAAATAACATGAAATGTGAAAGTACAAAAAAAGCCAAAGTTATGTTAGTCTCTTTCTGGATTTCAATGGAGTGCCTTCAGTTGGGTCTATTCTGAAGCCGGAAATGCAATATGAAGCTCACCGGAAATGTTGTCTTTGTGAAGCTCGCCAGAATTGGATCCACCAAAATTGGAGCTCGCAAGAAATGAAGTAGGTATGTTAATGAAGCTCGCCGAACTGGCCAAGGTTGCTCGCCGGAGTGGAGTTGGGTCTTTCACTGATGAGCATGCAGAACTGGTGAAGCTCACTGGTTTGTTCACAGTCGAAGTTTGTTCGGGTCTGTTGGCTTGGTCAGCCTGATGCTCACCGAACCAAGTCTGAAGCATTGTGCACTCGCCCGCGTTCATGGACATTGAAACTCTCTGTTCGCTGGTTAGTCCACACGCCGACCAATTATAACCAATTTGGATTATCAAATTAACTTAAAAGTAGCCATTTATGGAACAAGCTTGGCTGGAAAAACCCAGTTCGCTTACCTCGCCATTTATGGCGAACAGAGGTACGATGGTGACCCTTTGTTTCTTCCCACATACTTCAATTCGGAAGCTGGAGATGACGGGCTTGTCATTGTTTTTGTGCACGAGGAGAAGAGTATGCAATTAGAAGCTTTGATTCAACTTCGTCTAGAGTTCCATATGGTTTTCATGGCACATTCATAACTGAGAAAGATTTTGCAAAACAGGCCTAATTCAATCGTCTTGAGCGATTGTTTTCCGATAATTGCTAGAGATTTTCCTGAGGGAATGTTTCAGTACGTCCTGTGAAATTTTATTTTTATTTTTATTTTTTTCTGTTAGAGGTTTTGAAGGACCAAGCTTGTAGTTTTTGGGTGTATGTTAGAATTGGAGCTCAACTAGTTCTTAATTATTCTTTTACTTATAGTGTGCATGAGAGAGGAGGTATATAGATACAGAAGCTTGTTGGGTCTTTGATGCGCCGATGACAATATGTTAATGAAGCTTGCTAGATTGGACGGTGAAGCTTGTCGGAGTTAATGGAGTTGATGAATCTTCGGGTTGCTGTTGTTGGGTCAATGAAAGTAAGTATGAAATGGTTTGCTAGGGATATATATATAAATAGAGAGAGAATATAATGAGGGGCAATTACGGAATACAAAAGGGCAATTTTGGATTTTAAGATTTTAAAATAGTCATGCGCATGGCACATGACCAACTAACAGCCATTCTTTATTGAAAGTCTGACGGGAGGCCGTTACTTGCAGCATTGTAATACTTAGTATAGAGTTATATAGGCAAAATAAATTAATCCCGCTGTTCCAATTTAAACGTTATGTTTTTGTGAGTCATGATTTTTTAAGTAAGACGTCTAATTTGAGAGGTGGTATAAGGTGTAACGTGCACAAAATATTATAGGGGTTTTTTTAATAGACTTCTACCCTTGAGAGATTTTCATGGGCTTAATAACCCAGCTGTGGCCATTTCCGAAATTTGGGAAACCTGACAAAAACAGATATTACCATTATTACAGGGTCCTGCAAAAAGATACTCATAAAGATTACCGGCACACAAATGGCTATGGCACACCATTCCTTGCTTTCCTAATCGCCATTGATTATGATCCATGGAATTGTAAAAGCACAAATCACTAAAAAAAGGAACACCAAAGATGAAGCAAAGGGGTACAGACAAGGGCTCCTCCTAGTGGGAATCTATTCAGTTCTTTATTATACAAAGAGGGATCAATTAACCCTCACTTTTCACAATTCAAAACTCTTTATTTATTTATTTTTTTTTCCTCTACAGATTGAAGGGGTTAAAATGCCAACATCTACCATTAAAAAAAAAACAAACAATAAATCTCTCGTGCCTTTGTACCATTGTACGAATGAAGAGCAAATAAAAATCACAACATATCAACATCCAAACAAAACTATCGATACGGCCCAACTAGGCTCCACAATGCAATTATTACTGGACACAGATAATGCATTGGTGCACCCACCCTCCTCCTCAAGTGTGAGCCGGGGCCTCATATGTTGGTCCGGGCCAGAACCAGTGGTCCCAAACCTAAATGCCAGAACACGAGAACAATAATTACAGAACAGAAAGAGTAACATGAATTGGGATACCACACTTTACATCTATTAGTAAAGTCCCTGTCCATCTTTTGCATCTTCCTACCTACAATAATAATTGGTACCAGATTTTTATACAAATTTCCCAAATTTTTATCCTCCCTGCACCCTACCATTTCAAGATGTGTTTTTCATATTTTGATTCTTCAGCCCTGTGCCTTCTTTACCCACTGTTCTGTGATATTATCTCTCCAAATTTTAGAAAGAGTTGGGCATCTGATGTACTCATGGATGGGCAGTTCACCAAGTGTGGAGTCCTGAGATTCGCATATTCATCCATGTAGCAGGGCACCTTAGCAGATGGGAGTGGTCCCGGTGGGGCTGGGGTTGTTTGTTTCGGTGTGTCAGCTGGAATGAGGCTTCCAAGGACACGTGCCACTTCGTGCATGGTTGGCCGATCTGATGGCTGCCTCTTGGTGCATAGAAGTGCAAGCTGAAATACTTTCTTCACTGCTCCAAGATCCTTACATGTCACAGATATTTCAGGATCAACTGTTTCCATCACTGCATTGTTGGCTGTCTTGGATAAGATCTGTTAAGGAGGATAAAAAAGATAAATGTGACATGTTGAAACATTTTTAGCCCAAATCAGTCCCGGTCAGGCCAACATTATCCACAAATAAGAAACATGACAAGCTGCACCTTTAGCAAATAGCAAAAAGCAAATGCCAACATTTGAGCTCAAAAAGTCCCTAGTACAAGTTTAAAATATCTTAAAAGTACCAAACTTTGCAAACCAATTTGACCTTTTGAATGCAATATGAAAATTTATACTGTATATCAATATAACTACGTCATTTTTCTAGTGCTTCAACAAATGAATTTCCTGTTAGATAAAGAAATGCCATATGCAGATTGATGCAATACTGACCAGATGGTGGAGATTGGATTCATTGTCCACTGCTTTCCTTCCAGTCAGCAACTCAAGTAACACAATTCCATAGCTATAGACATCGGACTTCTCAGTGAGACGGGAAGTACGGGCATACTCAGGATCTATATAACCAATGGTACCCATTATGTAAGTAGATGTATGAGTCTTGGAGGTGCATAAACTTTTGGCAATGCCAAAGTCAGTGAGATGGGCCTCAAAATCCTTGTCCAATAGAATGTTTGATGACTTCACGTCTCTATGGATTATACGAGGGCTACAATCATGGTGAAGATATGTGAGTCCTTCGGCCGCTCCAAGAGCTATATGAAGACGAGTGTCCCAGTCAAGCTTTTTCTTCTTAGTAGGGCCTAGAAGAGACAATTTATGCATAAGAAACAAATGGAAAGATATTTATGCTGGCATGCACGTAAATGATATTGGGAAGTTAATCAATCATAGAACACTGAACTCGTCCCTATATAAGGTATGCAACTTAATGAAATCCAGAGGAGGTTTTATGAGTTTGGACCTCCTTCTCAGCTGCATAACAGTAGAGAAGGATCAAAATAGAATGGTAGAAAGGTTACCCCAGCTAGCCAAATAGGAACTTCAAAATATCTTCCCCACATACTTGAGCACTTTAGTGTTTGTGCATAATGCAGCCTTGTCTCATGCTCAACAATCCCACAAGTTTACTCAGATTTTGAACTCTACCATATATGGTATTATATTTTTGCAATTGAACAGATGCCACTATATGGTGTGGGGAAGAAGGGATTTAACATGATGCAGCATAAGGCATTACATGGTCAGAGACATACAAGTTTCTACACCATAAAAATCTAAGAAGACTCACCATGAAGGAGATCCCAGAGGCTGCCATTTTCCATGTAATCGTAGAATAAAAGGTTCCCAGATGACGACAGTGAATATCCTTGGAGGCTGACAAGATTGCGATGCTTGATGCTCCCTACTGTCTCAAGCTCTGTCTCAAATTCCTTCAGGCACTGTGGGTGAGAGTACAATCTCTTAATTGCCACTGGCTTGCAATTTTTAAGAACACATTTGTATACAGTGCTAGATGCACCATAACCAATTATATACTTTTCACTTAAGTTCTCAGTCATCCTCATAATGTCTTCATACACATGAAGTGCCATGTTCATATGAAGAATCACAAGCTTCGGAGATGAGTAATTGACTGTTCTCCAACAAACACAGAGAAGTCAGTAAACATATAATATTTTCAATTAAAGTCAAAATATTAAATTACTTATGCAAAAGTCTATTTATATATAAATTGGATGGTTTTAGTTCATTTACAGGACTGTTCTCCTTCGGTTTTAAAGGGTATTGAAAAGAAACAACATCCTTGAATATAGTTATACCATCTTTAATCATAGAACAATTATCTGATATCCTTTATGAAGGTTTATATAGCAGAAGTCAAGGCACCTGGTTTGTCAAGGGATCCTTCAAAAAATGGAGTCGGATTGTGCGGCCGGCATGCAGCCACCAAGATCATCAGAAGAATCACCAGGGCACCCAGAGCAATCCCCAGTATAGCTGTCTTAGAAATCATCACTGCATCCACAAGAAGCTCATTCTCAGATTGAACAACTGAAACATTTTTATCCTGTGAAGAAGTTAAATTTCTATTGGATTTTTTCTTAATGATACAACTAAATATGTTACAGATGAGGTATTGGAAATAAAATAATAAAATAAAATAAAAATGTTATTGTGCCAAGTAGAGGAATCTGAAATTCCGCAAACAAACCAGTCATCAAGGCATAGAAGACAACTTTCCTTTTGCAGTCATGGATTAACAGTGAATGCCATGATTGGTAAGAAAACACTTCCTCTTCATCTATCTTTCATTATGGATTTAAAATCCTTTTTCTATCTGCTAGTTTTACATTTTGAAACAGTTTTAACCAAAGAATTTAAGCATGAATTACATTTTATAAATACAAAAAAGAGCTGCCAAAAGTTAGTCCCTTCATCAGAAACTCGATTATGCCCAACTATTTTATTGTTGTATTAAACTGCACAGGGAAATGTATGCCCAAAAACTGGGAAAAATCCTGATTTATTTAAACACCACTTGAGACATTAGTCCATGGCATAGTTATATGGCTGAAATTTGACAAGCAAACAAGTATATAATTGCTATTCGGTGGCAGAAAGTAGGGTTACACATCATTGTTTAGATTTTGCAGACAGAAGATAAGATAGCAAGTCATGTCCATTGCATAATCTAACTTGAAAGCATATATTTACCTCTCTCTGCTGGTCGGGAGATGTGACACGGAGAAGTGAGCCAATAGCCACAGAGACCAGGATTGCCTATGAAGCTGCACAAAAAGTTAATTTAGTTGAACAAATGCCTGAAAAAGAAGGCAGAGACAGTCAAAGAAACTTGTTAAATGTAACTACCATAAACTCAAGTTTATTAAGATAAATTGCTTGGAAGTGATAATAATTCATAATATCTAACCTATCTGGCAGAAACCTCGAGAAGTTGTTGCCTGTAGGAATATTCCCAACTAGGTTATTATAAGATACATTTCTGCAAAATCAGATTTAGAACAGTCTTGTCAGACTATAGCGGACTTGGCAAATTAGAAATCATTTCATTAACTATGTTGCGAACTTACAGGACAGTAAGACTAAGACAACTGCTGAGTGATGTTACATCTCCAGACAAATTGTTGTTTTCTAATCTCCTGTCAGTAATTTGAAACCCAGAGATTATAAGTTACAATGAACACCTAATGGCATCATTATTTCCTAAGAAACACAAATCAACATAAAGGCTCATATCCTACATAGAATATTGCATAATAAAAAAATAAAAAAAAATTATAATGGTAATTCTATAAACTATGCAGCCAATAAGCCAATGTATTCCTCATCAAATCAAAATCTAAGGAAGATCAATTGATTAACTGATAAATCTTCACTTCTTGTACATGGGAATAATAACATTTATGAAAGGTCACTACAATGATTGAGAATAAAGATCATCATAAGGTTTTACGTTACGACTTCCCATCCATTTTCACTGTACAGGAAAACTGGGTTATAACTTGTACCATAAATACCATCTCATTAATACAGTATGAAAATAAATGCAATGTTTCATAAGTTGCTGCAGTACATAACCAAACCTGTTGGTTTTATCCTCCCAGAATAACAGTCACTTTGACAACCAATGAAGACCACAAATAGTAACTTGAAGCACAAATAGAAAACAGGGAAATAGAACTTACAGCAAGAAGACATTTTGAAGCTGACCGAGTTCTTGAGGAATGGGACCATAAAGGTGATTATTTGAAATGTCTCTACAATGGAAAATCAGGACAACAAAGTTGAACACTGGACAAAGAAAATGCAATAATACCCATAATTGCAGTTAAAGATTCCTTACATCTCCATAACGCTTCTTAGATTACCAAACTCAGCCGGTATATAGCCAGCCAAATTATTCCTGCTTAAGTTCCTGCATATAATTTAGGGGCTGTCAGTAAAAATAAAAATAAAAATTGGTACAAGATCCCTTTAAATGTAAAACTCACAGTTTCAGAAGATGCTCCAAATCACCAAGGGAAGAAGGAATAGAACCATTAATTTTGTTGTTTGAGATGTCCCTAAGCCAAAAAATAAATCAATAAAATCAAATTCATAGATGCATTTAATATTGGACATTATATAATAAGATTAAGGACTATCAACAAACAATAGAGCACTTGGTACTTACAGAGTATCCAAATTACCAATGCGGGATAATTCAATAGGGATGGGACCCTTGAGATTGTTGTTGGAGAGATTCCTAAAGAATAGAAACAAAAACATGACCAAGGCCATCAGAAGTGCTAGTAATTAGATGCATAATTGTGCTACTATAAGAACAATTAATGCATAAGACAAACCCTTGATGTTCATATCTGTGCTATTGTGCAAGTGGACTATAATTTAAGATATTGGATATTCATGAATATTGATATGAACAGATACTGAACTAAAACATCTCTGATACAAATTAGGGATCCAAATAGTCAGGTGATAATTCGCAGGTATTCACGCAAGTCTTTATATATCAATGTCTTGTCTTGATACCACCTGATTTTTTGTATGCAGTTATCTAGAAAATATGATACATAATAGTCCAGAAACAACAAGCATTTTACATGTTTACCCTTTATGCGCTCCATTTTTCTCGCATTAACAAGCTAAAGACCCCATAGTGAAATTCCTCACCAATAAATTTATCCTAAGATGTTATAGCGCTTTAAGGAGATAATAAGACCTTTTCTTTAGAGTCAACTCTTATTTGTCTCTTCAAATTTGAACCAGTGAAGCAGAAAGAAAATCATTTTCTTTTTCTGCCAAAAGATCAGTAGACAAGATTCTGTAAGTCTAACCTACCATCAACAATTCACGTTGACTTGGAGTAACTCGATATGTTCAGAGTATTCCAATAATACGTTCCAAAGGAAATGCTTATAATTAACAAGTTAACTGGGGTATGGGGTATGCATATAGAAGAAACCTTAGAAATCATGCCATATTTAGTGAGGTTTTCTCATGCTATGAAATCATTTGAATCTGCATGTCATGATATAAAGTTTCTCATCAAATATCTTTAATGGCATGGCTATTGTAATAATAAAGGTAAAGATTTCAAGCATAAAAACGTGGATTTGAATCCGAAAGCAGCCACTTTAAGCAAAATAATGCTAAAGGTTAGATCTGTGGTCAATGCAACGCCCACAACACTGGTAAAAAGAACATGGATGCCCTGGACAATTAATAAGTTCTGCGACAATGATAATTACTAAAGGAATAGGTAACAAAGATGGTGATTCTTCATCTCCCGACGACACGTCCACGTTGAACTTGCAGGATAGTTTAGGACCATTTTACCAAATGATATGAAAATAAAATCTTATAAAATACAACATAAACTGCATGACACTTCTCAAATTTCAAAAGAAGAAGATGGTGATGATGACGACAAGGGCTGAACTCACAAATATGTCATACTCTCCAGCCTTTCAAATACAGGAGGTATAGTCCCATTCAACTCGTTCCCATGCACATTTCTACCATCAAAATCAATTGGTAAATAATAATATTCAAATGATTGAAAGTTCAATAAACAAAGCAATGCACATAAGGTTCAATGCTTACAGACTGTTAAGATTTGTACAAGAGCTGAGATTATCAGGTATGGGCCCAACAAGCTTGTTGTTAGCTACATTTCTGCAAGCATTTAGTGTCAATAACTTGCTTTAAGAAAAGCAAAAACTGTTTCAAATAGAATAACTAAGAGAGACAGGATATACAGGTCAAACAAGTCAGTGAGCTTCCCAAGTTCTGGTGGAATATACCCAGTGAGCTGGTTATCATTCAATTCCCTACAAGGACGGAAACAAAAAAACATATGCATTTTGCAACATGACTAGAGAAAGAAACATAAAGAGAACTGAACTTATAGAAAGATGTTCGGGAAAAAATTAGAAGGTATTCATACAGATAGTGGAGCTTTGTCATATTTCCAAGCTCTGGGGGTATCGATCCAGTAAGTTTGTTACTGTGCAGATACCTACAACATTTTCACATCCAAATTAAAACACTGACTACAAAATATATGTAGATGTATCGAGTAGAACAAGAATTTTAAGTGTCCCAAGTGATTCGATGCATAGATGGTGAAATTTTAAATAATTACATCAAATTGAAGCATCAACACTGAAAACAGTAATTTGGCATTGTGCATAAATAGAAGGTCATGCTGTTATTATTGTATACACGGCAAAATACAAGCAGCCGTTGAGAACATAATATTTTTAATCTAAGAACACCAATAAATGGAGAAAATACAATAAGCTGAAACAAATGAAGAGGATAAAACTTACAATTTCTCTGTGTAAGTCAAATTTCCAAGAATAGGAGGGATGGCTCCACTCAACATATTGCAGCTTAAATCTCTGGATCAAAGCAGGATTTGACAAAGATGTAAGATGAAAAATTTTCAAATTAAAGAAGCAGGGTTTAATCTTGGAGAAGTTCATAAGCCAGGCTAAAAAAAAGTCTTGTGAAAATACTATGTGGAGATAACAATATTTTAGAAAACACTTACAATACGGCGAGTGCCTGCATCAGGCCAATTACAGATGGGATTTGCCCTGAAAGCCGGTTACCTTGTAATGATCTAGTGTGAACAAAAAGATAAAATAAAATAAAGAAACAATACAGTAAGAGTACGCTAAATGGATATTAAGCCTTTAAAGTACAAAATTTCTAAATAATTAAAAGTAATATACACATACAATGTAGCTACTTGCAGGAATCCAATATTGAATGGAATCTCTCCAGTCAGCTTGTTGTAAGACAAGTCCCTACCAATTGAAACAGAATAAACAATTTCCCATTAACCATTTTACAAGATATATACAATTTGGCCACATAGCACTTGGCAGGGTACGTACAAGACCTGGAAGGCAGTGCAGTTGCCTATATTTTGAGGAATGTCACCAGTCAGACTATTGTTTCTTACATCACTGAAATTGGTAGGAAAGTAAGATATATTTGCAGAGGACATAATATGGAAGGAAATTGAAAGGAGAATTGAATTACAAGAATAAAGTGAAAGGTGATAACTTACAAATACCACAACCCTGTCAGCTGACATATATCAGGAGAGAGTGTGCCAACCAAGTTGTTCCCTCTTAATCCTCTAAATTGACAATAAACACATAATTAGGCTCAGAATCCATGGAAATCTCATTCCATCAAAAGAAGAAAATCATCGGCAAAAATAAGTTAAATAACACGACAACAAATGAAAAGGACAGATTGATGTCATCAAATATTAGTATACTCATTACTTACAGATATTGCAGGACCTCATTCCAATATATGAGCCTTGGTATTTCACCACTCAGTTTATTCTGTGCCAAGTCTCTATAACAAGTATTTCAAAACATTTGCACGTTAGCCATAACTCTAAAGTTACATGGAAATGATGATGGAAATAGAATTGAAGAACGGCACTTACAAAATCTTTAAGTTCGGAATCTGAGAAAGGGTTGAAGGTATAGGCCCAATCAACTGATTATTTTTCAAAATTCTGAAAACCCATTCAAACAAAACCATCACACCAGACAAAACAAGCAAAGTGGTGGATTAAACACGAAGTATACATTAGAACTTACAGGTACTCTAGTTGTTTTAACTTTGAAATTGAAAATGGTATGTCTCCATACAACTCGTTGAAGGATAAGTCCCTAGTGCCGGCAACACGTTTCGGTTAGGATTTAATGGAGATGTCAATCAAAGAAAAGAATCACAGATATAAAAAAACATATAGCAAAATTAAATCATTGCCATAGTAAAATTATTAACACTCTTGAGCTTTCCCACACTCTAGAATAAGGCCATAATTACGCTATTCTGTAACCATAAATAACACTTACAAGCTTTTCAAAGACAAGCAGTCACCAATTTCATCAGGGATCTGCCCGGAGAGGCGATTCCCCCGCAAATCACTGTTCAAAGAAAAAGCTATCAACAAGCATTTCCAAACCAAGTACAGTGAAACTCTACGTACACGAATAGCAAAAACGCTTATAGCTTCAAAATAAAATAAATAGACCAATCTACGCAAAACAAAGTTAAAAAGAGGGTAGAAATTTTACATGGAGAGAAGGCCTTTAAGCTCTCCTATTGCAGGTGAGAGTTCCCCATCAAGATTCAAACCAGAGAGATTACTACAGTGTTGGGAATAACAGATCAAGAAGTCAAAATTTTGACAACCAAGAATTTAAATCAAAAAAAAAAGAAGAAGACAATATGCATAGTTGAACTACCAGTAAAGGGGCCTTAATTAGCAACGCCAATAAACGTTGCTTGAAAAAGACTTACAGTGCAACGATATTGAAGGTGGCATTGTCACACGTTACCCCTCTCCACACACAGTAGTCCGAAGATGGTGAGTCCGTCCAGTCATACAGCACGTTATCCACATCTCTAAATGACTTTTTAATCTCCAGTAGCGTTGCCCCTTTATTAACATATACAACGAATCAACTAAACATATGCATAAATACCAGTATTATATATATATACCATTAAGAGAGATGGAGAGTGTGAAGAGGAAGAACAAGCACAAATCAAGCTTATAGCAACATTATAAAAGCTTCAGATCAAAGAGAGAAAAGTTTGTGCGAGTGCAGATGAAGAACTGGGCATAAGTGCTTGTAATCAAACGCGTTTTAAGTAATAATCAAATAAACGAATACTGTAAAACAATAATGGCATTTATAATGAGGCCAAAAGAGGAATTATAGAGATTGAAGAAAAGCGAAAAATCGTCAAACGTGTTGGTTTTCGAAAACATTAAAAAAATAAAACCAGACTATTAAATTCGGATTAGAAGATAGGACCAATTACAAAAACGATAACAGACAGGACAAGCCTCACCGTCGTCGGAATCCACAGAACCGAAGCTCAAACAGGCGAGAAAAAGCAGAACCAGCACTTTCAGAGAATGACTAGTCGGATCGAACGCCGAAGAAAATGCCATAACTAACTTGGCAAGAAAAGTCCTTCCTAGGGCACAACACGTTCGATTTCAACCACCATTGAAAAGCAAGCTATGTAATTGATTTCGAGAACGCTATGGCCGTACTACAGAGAATAAGAAGACGAAACGCTTTTGAGGTCACCGACTTTGAAACGACGGCACCGAGGGTTACAAATGCTCCTCAGAGGAGAGAGACAGAGAGGTATAGACAGAATAATTTCTTCACTATTGTGTGATGATAGTTTTTGAGGGAGAGGACGATGTCACGAAGAGCTTGCGTGTTCAATCACATCGTTCTGGCAGAGAGCTCGCTGTATACAGTGGGCATTTAGTTCTCTCTAGAGAGAGAGAGAGTGAGAGTTGCATAAACGTAGCACTGCGAGAACTAGAGAGAGAGAGTGAAAATTATTTCGAAGATAAAGTTAAAAGACCCCTCTGCCAAACTCTGCTACGAGACCTGCAAACATACAGCTATCTTTCCCCTCTCTCACTCTATAATTTATCACTCTACACTTTTAGTCATTACATTTTAATCTCACTCTATCTATCTTTATATATAGCTTTGATTACTTTCTCTCTCTCTCTCTCTCTCTATCGTCGAGTTCTCTCTTCACTCTTTCATATGTCGCTGTCTCTGTTTCATTTTCTCTGTATTTGCAGGAGAGAGAGAGCGCGCTTATTAGCTAGCAGGTACTGTAATCCTTTGGTTGACAACGACGACCTCCTTCTCTCTCTCTATAACTTTGCATACGGAGTGTCTGTGTGTCTATATATATATATAGCATATAGCAGATGGGGTTTTAAATGAATGATTTACTTATTACGGTGTAGCATCTCATCATTTCGTCCTTATTAATTTCCAAGCTCAGTTAGGTAGTTACGACTTACCCTGTGTACCATACGTCGAATAATCGCATTCAACTCGGCGATTTGTTTTCTCCAGTTGAATAGATTTTGTTTAGGAGAAATTATGATTTACTTTTTGAAAAATATAATAATAATAATAATAATAATGATTACAAAATTGTGTAAGAGAGAAATAGTCGGGATAATTTAAAATTAACGTGGAGGAGTGATTGTACTAGACTTCATTATGTAGGTATGGTTATTGGTCATAATTATATTTTAATTGATTGTTTTTCTCTCTATTACCCAAAACAACTACTCCGCTCCCACAGCCACCCACCTCTGCTCCCCACCACCCGAGAAATCCCCTCCCCAAACGCATGTTAAGTCATCATGGTCTTCAACACCCATTGAAGCTTAGAAAATAATTGAAAACCCAAACAAGTCTTTTAACCATAAAATTTTGGTTGCTCCTGTTGCAAGGTTGCAAAGTTTTTTTTTCTCTTTTAGGCTTCGTTTGGATACACTGGAGAGAAAAGAAAAGAAAGGATTATGAGAGAAAAGAAAAGAAAAGAAAGGGAAGGAAATGTTTATATTCATGTTTGGATAGATAGGAGAGAAAAGAAAAGAATTGATAATATTGTTATTTGGATAACAAAAAGGAGAGAAAAGAAAAGAATTGATAATAATAAAATTACTATCTTACCCTTTACCCTTTTTGGTAGGGTTAGAACACAAAATCATTTCAGCCTCCTCCATCTATCTATTCCCGATCTCACAGATCCCTCCGTCTCTCTCTCTCTCTCTCTCTTTCCAACTACAAAATCTACAAAAATAGTCAAAAACCCATATCAGCTCTCTCTCTCTCTTCAACTGCCAACTACAAAATCTACCAAAATTAGTAGATCAAAACCCATCTGCTCTCTCTCTCTCTCCCCAGCTGCAAACTACAAAATCTACAAAAATAGAAGGTCAAAACCCATATCGGCTGTCTCTCTCTCTAACTGCCAACTACAAAATCTACAAAATCTACCAAAATCAAAAGACGATCTCTGCAACAGACGATCTCTGCAACTTCCAGCGAATTTTCCGGCGTTCTCTGCAACTTCCGGCGAATTTTCAGACGATTTCTGCAACTTCCGGCGACTTTTCCGACGATTTCTGCAACTTCCGGCGAGTTTCCGACAGTCTCTGCAACTTTCCACGAATTTTCCGATGATCTTTGCAACTTCCGGCGAATTTTCAGACGATTTCTACAACTTCCGGCGACTTTTCCGACGATTTCTGCAACTTCCGGCGAGTTTCCGACAGTCTCTACAACTTTCGACGAATTTTCCGATGATCTTTGCAACTTCCGGCGACTTTTCCGGATGGGCTCCAAAGGTCATTAACTCCCTTTTTCTCCAAATCCCTCCAAATCTTGTCAATTTTGGAGGGATTTGGTTTTACTGTTTAGGAGAGATTTGGAGGGATAGGCTATCCCTCCAAATCCTTCCCAATCCTTTCTTTTCTCTCCAAAACCCTCCATCCAAACACACCTATCCCTATCCTTCCCTTTCTTTTCTCTCCAAAACCCTCCAAATCCCTCAATCCAAACGAGGCCTTAACCCTCTTCGTTCTTGTTTGTGATGTAATGGGAGACATTGGACGGTATGAGCCACTTAATTGCTAAAAGTTCAAACGTTTTTGTGTACCCGGTACACAATAAAAATAAATAAACAAAAATTTGTTGGAATTCCTAAATCTGAGTAGGAAAAGATTATTCTTTTTGGTTTGATTCTTCTACTATTCAATTCCGGTTCTAATAATGAAATTATGTTTATGTTTGGATCCATATGAGAGAAAAAAAAAATTAAGAAAGGAATTGATAATATTATTGTTTTGATAAAAATAAAAAAAATAAAAAAAAAAGATAATAATAAAATTATCATCTTACCCTTTTTTTTGTAGGGTTAAACTATTCAAAATCTTAATCTACTAAGTAATATTACATACCCACCTCGAGCAAATCGTTTATCCTCCACCTATTTATAGGCATTTGAAAATAGTCAATATTGAGAGATATTTAAACACAAGTGTCCAGAGAGAGGAGTCAAGTGATCTATGATGGGGGACCATCAACTAAATTTTTATTTTTTATTGTTTAAAAAAATTAAAGCAAGAAGTTGAATATAAAATTATATATAAATAGAGTTTGTAATTCTAAATAATTAAATAGTCTATTTTAAAAGTTTATTTTTCAATTTGATTGAATTAAATTAAATAATTACAAATGCATCAATAATTATTTTTAAGGACCAAAATACCCTCAAGCTCTTATTTCAAATTACCAAAATATTCTTAAAATAATATAATTCCAAAATGGCCTCTTTAGTTGTTATTTCCTTCTTCAATAAAATTGTTTAATATATTATCAACAAAATATACAGTGTATATAGATATATATATATATAATCAAAAAAAGTCATGCCAAATAATCTGTTCAAAATGGTTGTGTGTATAATCTATACTAAGACCAAAATCACAAGATTATAGAATAAAATAATAAATAAATTTGCCAAAAGAACCTATACTATTTTGATAATTAAGAACACAGGAGGGAGGTAATGATGAAATCATTCCCTTGCAGCTCTTTTCAGTGTTGAAGAAAAATATTTCAGCTACTAGGAAATAAGAGAGGTACTCTTGCTAAGTATATGAATGACCCAATTGCTTTTTCAAACTCAAATCAAAGAGTTAGAAGAGGCCAAAACGAATTATTGCAACAGCTTGTGGGGGTGTATCCAACGCGAGAGAGAGTGGATCTGTATGGAATTGAATAAAGAAAATACTAACCACCAGAAGAGGGTATCGTGGATTATAACAAAGTGGAGGCTATCATATGTTGTACTCATACTGACAGAGTAATATAGAGAGAAGATGTGTAAAATAAATTTAGGTTTGTAAGACACTCTATAATCGCTCCTCTTATTGCAATGGATTCAATTTTTTTTTTGATTTTTTTTTTCTCTCATGCACAACCCTTTTTCCAACCACAGAAACCACCTACGTCAGTAGGGTTTGATAGTTTCCCATTTTTTTTTGGTATTTTGGAGTTATGTGATGTTAAGAAGGATATTTTGGTATTTTGGACTAGAGATTGGAGGGCATTTTGGACCTTAATAAAATTCTTGATGCATTTGTAATTATTTTGTTTAATTCAATCAAATTGAAAAGTAAGCTTTTAAAATAGACTATTTTGTTATTTAAGACTCCTAACTCTACCTATTTATAGTTTTCCCTATTTTTATACCGGTAATCTCCAATTCAAAATGGAGCATCCTTATTAGTACGACAAACTATTCATATTTTTAGACCAAAATTTAAATTTTCTTTAATTATTGGCACTGATAAATAATTTTCCTCTCTTTTTCTTTTCCTTTTTTTTCAATATATTTATTATTTGTTTGTCCGCAATTTTTAACGGTACACGATTCGAAGCATACAAAAAACATGGACACGCTAAAATTACTGTAATAAAATAATAGTAAATATACTATAAGATATATAAAAAAAATGAATTAATATGTTTTGAGTTACTAGAAAAAATAATATAAAGTTTTAAAAAACAATCAGCTAGTCTTGAGGCAAAATTTAGATATTTAAAAATAAGAAAGTAATGTGGCACTAGCTGATTGGCTGTTAAACATGTTGTGTGCTCTGGCTTTTGGCGTGGTTTTGAAAGGGAATTGGAGAGAAAAATATCAAAAACCCAGTTATTGTTCACGGGCACGAATTACTGTTCCCGAGCTCAAAATTTGATCTACACCGTTCAAATTTTAAATCATTGAGTCGTGAACCTTTCCTCCAAATTTCAGCTCGATCGGACCACGGACGAAGCAGGATTGGACATTTGATGAAATATGGGCAGAATAGAAAAAACCAAAACCCGGTTACTGTTCACGGGTACGATTCACTGTTCCTGAGCTCAAAATCCGATCTCCATCGTTCAAATTTTAACTCATTGAGTCGTGAACCTCTCCTCCAAATTTCAGCTCAATCGAACCATGGACGAAGCGGGATCGAACGTTTAATGAAATCTGGGCAGAATAGAAAAAACCTGCGTTTTTCTTTTTTCTCTTATGAAAAAAAAAGGCTGATCTCTCTCCCTTTTTATTCTGACTTCCTTAAGGTTATTTACCCTAAAGAGCTGGGCTTTGGGCTTTAATAAAACTCACTTGGGCTTTCCTCCATATAGAAGGAAATAAACCCAACAAATCTCCCCCTTTCCGACTATGTGGAGGGAATCGCCATTCCAGCGATCGAACAACAAACTTCAAGTTTCTCTCTTGGTAGAGTCTTTGTCAACATATCAGAACCATTATCATCAGTGTGAACCCTCTCAAGTTCAAGTAACTTATTGTTCAACACATCTCTGATCCAATGGTATCGTACATCAATGTGCTTAGATCTTGCATAAAAACTGGAATTCTTAGCAAGATGAATAGCACTCTGGCTATCACAAAACAACACATACCTCTGCTGCTTGAAATCAAGTTCTCTCAAGAACTTCTTTGCCTATAGCAACTCTTTAGTCGCTTCCGTTGCTGCAATAAACTCTGCCTCTGTCGTAGAAAGAGCAATACACTTTTGAAGTCTCGATTGCCAACCTACAGCCCCACTTGCAAAAGTGATCAAGTAACCCGAAGTAGACTTACGAGTATCCACATCCTCTACCATATCTGCATCTGTGTAGCCAACTAACAATGGTTGTCCGTTTCCCAAACCAAGTCTTAAACTGGAAGTGCCTCGAAGATACCTCATGATCCACTTCACTGCATTCCAATGCTCTCTTCCCGGATTTGACAAAAATCGGCTAACTACACCAACTACATGGGCTATATCTGGTCCTGTGCAAATCATT